AGAACAAACGAGAACACAATGGTTACAAAAAATGAAAAGAAAAAGACAATTAGAAGTTGAAAATTCATCCCCTCCCCCCACTCGACGACTACGCTGGTACCACCACCACCACCATCTTTATGTACATAATTTTATTATTATTATTATTATTATTACTCGTAATTTAGTTTTTTATAAAAAAAAAAATGAAAGGTTCAACAAAAGGTTAATTCTACCGGAAAAAAATTAAAAAGCCGCGAGCGAGGGTTGTTGGTTGTTGGTTGTTTAAAAAATTCCCCGAAGTCAAACAAAAATTAATTAATTGTTTTATAAAAAAAAAAAAAAATTTCCTTCCTTTTTTTTTCCCTTTTGCATTCTTTCGACTATTTAAACCACCGTTTTTTTCTTTTGCTTTTAATAATAATAATAATAATGAAAACGTTTTCGGTAAAATTCCTTTGTTGTATGTGCTCGTGATATATGTATAGATATATATCGACGTAAGAAATCTTTATTTACCGGGGTTTGGGGTGGATATAAAAAAAAGGAAAAGAATCAAATGAAATTTTCAAAGGAAAATAATATTTATCGACTTGACGGTTAGTAAATGGTAATGAAAAAGAAAAAGAAAAAAAGATTAAGGCGGAGTAAAAAGAGAAAAGAATGGTGATGGTGTATATGGTAAAAACGAGAAAAAGGAGGATCTAAACAAAGGAAAAAACTGATTTTTCCTTTTTTTTTCGTGCCAACCTTGCAAAAAAAAAGGAAAATGATTATCGGACGGCGTTATAATAATAATAATAATAATAATATCAATGAAAATTTACTACTACGATACTGTGTGCGTGTGCGTGTGTGTGTAATGTATATATATATAAATGCATTTGACATTTTAAAGTGTTTTTCTTAAAGAAAATGTAGGGTTGAGACGGAAGAAAAAAAGGTTTTTAAAGGTTAACTCAAGGGTTTCGATACGAAGAAAATGAAAAGGTTATTATTATTTTCATTTCTACCCTCGTCCCCCTACTTCCCCGCTTCCCGCCACCTCTCGCTTCCCACCATCGGTATAATGGGAAGGAAAAGGAAACGCTTTTTATTAAGATTATAAAAAAAAAAAAAGGTTCATTTATTTTTTTATAGATATATATATATAAAATGTGGACTTATTAATTTTTCTCTTTCCCTTTTTCTTCTTCTTCCACGTTTTTTTTTCTTTTTCTTCTGCCACGTTTTTTTTCCTCCTTCGAAAAGGTTTTTTTTGACGAAAGGGTTGCCTAGAAAAAAATTCGTGCGTAATTTTAATTTCGGGTGTATTTTTCCTTATCTATTCATTTATTATTATTATTAACGCGTTTGTTTGTACATGTTTGTCGTATCGTTTGTCTTTTATCTTTGTTCTAGAATATTAAATTAAAAAAAAAAAGGTAAAAATTTTTTTTTTCGTAGGGAGGGGGAAAGTAGGGAAAACTTTAAAGCTGAGTAAATTTTTTTCTTTTACGTGTTTTTAAATATTACGTTTGTTTGTTTGTTGTTTGTTTTGTTGTTTTTTTTTTTACCAAAGTTTCGATGCGTCGTAATAAAAATAAATTGTTTTGATATTAACCAAACGAAAAATAAATCAAATAAAAAAAAAAATGGAGAAGAAGAAGAAAAAGGAAAAAGAAAAAGAAAAAATGGCAGACGTAGAAATAAAATAAAAAGTTTAAAAGCAATTAAGATAAAGGTTTGGAAAAAAAAAATGAAAGAAAGAAAGGACGATGGAAACAAAAGGAAAAAAAAAGTGATAAACGATATGAGTAACAAACGTTGACAAAAAACAGAAGAGAGATAAACCTGGAGAAAAAAAGAAAAAAACTGGAGAAAAAAAGGAAAAAAAACTGGAGAAGAAAAATTTCTTTTTTTTTTACGTTTTCGAATACGAATCGTGTTTATTGATTTTTTTTTTTTTGGTCCAGCTCGCTGGAATTTTCGTTTTTTTTCCAGCATTTTTAAATTTTAAAAATATTTTTTCTATTTACACGAGAAAATAATTTTAAAAAAAAAAACGTGGGAAAAGAATAACAAAAAAAAAAATAATTCACGAAAAAAAAAACAAAAATAAAAAGTTTTGGTTCGGATTCACCTTTCAAAAAAAAATAAATTTAAAAAATAAAATGGCGCGAAAAAAAATTTTAAAAATAATAATAATAATTAAACGTGGATTTAGAAAAATTCAATTTAAAAAAAAAAAAGGTTCGATGAATCGAATGAACCCTTTTTTTTTTAAGTGTGTGCGGTGGTTTTGATTTACATATTTAAACCTTTCTTATATTTTTCATTTTAATTTTACTTCTCTCCCCTTCTCCACCCCCAAAATTTCTCCCTCCCAACCTTCTTTTTTCCTCTCTACGCTCCTCCTCCCTCCACGATTTTTTTTTATTACTTTTAAACGTTGGAATTAATTAAGAAAAAATAAATTTTTATTTTGTTTTTGTTTTCTTCCTTTTACGAAAACGTCATACCTGACGTAATCAAAAATGGATTTTACTACATGAGTAGAGGGAGTAGCGGTAACGGAGGGGGGAGGGAAGAGAAAGAGAGAGAGAATTTCAATTAAAGTTAATAATAATAAATTATTATTTAAACGTAATCGATATCGGAGCAATTAAAATATTTTTAAACGTTTTCATTATGAATTTTTTATTTTTTTTTAATGTTTTTAATGTTTTTTTTTTAATTTTTGACTTTTATTACTTTTCATCTCGTTAGTCGAGGAGGAGGAGGGGAAGGAGGAGCGTAAATTAAAAAAAAAGAAAAATTTTTTAACGATGAAAACCGAAATAATAATAATAATATAATAAATTTTTTTACGACTTTTTTAATTATTTTTTTTTTTTAACGACGAATTTTTATTTTTTATTTTATTTATTTATTATTATTAAATTGTTAATGAAAAAAATAATAAATAAATAAATAAATTATTTAATACGTAAGGTAATAATAATAATAATGATGATGGTTTAATTAAATGTTGAAAAATACGTAGAGTAATAATTATTAAAAAAGTTTTTTTCTTTTTTTTTTATGCGTCGCGTAATAAAAAAAATAATAATAATAATTTGTTTGAGTATGAGTCACGAAACCTTTTAAGGTAAACAAAAAAAGGTTAAAAGGTTGCAAAAGAAATGATGACGATGATGGTAAAAAATTTATTAAAAAAATGCTGTCGCGACGAAATGGTTTTTCAATTTTGTTAACAATATGTTTTATAATAAAAAACGGGTTGTTTGTTGTTTCCCTCCCCCACTCGAGGTGTTGTTTTGACCCTCCCCTCCCTAATTTTTCTTAAACCTTATGAACTTTTTTTCCCTCTCACCCCCCGAATAAAAAAATTATTTTTTTAACGTATTATTAAAATGACTTATCGGTGGCAAAAAAAAAAAAAAAGTGTAAAAAAAAATCTTACGTCATTAAAAATCAATCAAAGTTGTTATCCAAGGTTGATAAGAAAAAATAAAAAAGGTTCGAATGAAAAAGGTTTTCTTCCAAAAAAAAAATATCATCTTATGAATTAATAATAATTTTTTTTAAAGGTAAAAAACAAAAATATTTCAGGCACGAATTATTAAAAAAATGTAAATAACGAATAATAAAAAAAAAAGGAATGAAAAAAAAGGAAGAAGATGAAGCAGAACCTTAAGAATTTCTAAAAAGGTTTTTCTATTAAAAAGAGAGAGAAAGAAAGAGAGAGTGTGTGTAATAAATTTTAAAATTCTTTTTCGCATTGCGTCGTCGTCTGTCGAACCTTTTTTTTTTTTTTTGCATTTTTCCATATCCTTTTTTTTTTAGGTCGGTCGCTTTTTTTTTTCTTTTTTTTGGGGATCCCGTGAAACCATAACGAACGAAACAACCTTTTTTTCCTTTTTTTCTTTAAATTTCTTTAAAAAAAAAAAAAAAAATCTTTTGTCCTTCTTTCGCTATAAAATGCCTGCCAACCTGCCTTATTTTCCTTTCTATCGCTTTTGATTTCCCTAATGTCGTTCTAAATTTTTTTCTTTTTTTTTAGCTTTTATTTCTACTTCTCTTTCTTCTCCTTCTCCTTTTTCTTTTTTTTTTTTAAAGAGAGAGGAATCAGATTTAATAGAAAGAAAGGAAAAGGGAAAAAAATTTCAACCGACATTTTTTTTTTTTTTACGACTAAATTAAAATTAAAATTGCAATTCAAACCTTGAACGAAGAAAAAAAAAAAGGAAAAAAAAGTTTTTAATGACTGAATAACACTCAGAATTTTTTTCTTCTTTCTTATTCGCCCCCCAATCCCCCTCGCCTTCTTCCCACCCCTCCCTCACTCTATTTTCAATGAATATTTTTTTTTTTCTCCAGATTTATTCCAAAAAAAAAAAAAAAAGAAAATTCCAATTTTTAACTTCGGCTCACGTTTTTTTTTTTTTTTTTTTTTTTTTTTTTTTTCTGACAAAGTTAATTTAATTTATTTTTTTTAAAAAGCGAAAAAAAAATATTTTTACGACGGGTATTTTTTTAACGTTTTTCCAACATCAAAAAGACGACGACGATGACGACGACAACGACGACAAACAACAAACAACCAAAAAAAAGTAATTTTTAAAATTTTACGTCAAAACCCCCCCAAAAAAAAAGAAAAAAAAAATTTACGAGAACATAAAAAAAAAAAAATCAAAGGAATTTATTATCGTTTTCCATATTTTTCACAACAACAACGACAACATCAACAACAACAACCACAATTTTTGCCATCACCGTCGCGGTTGTTTGTTTCGTGTTAAAAAAAAAAAATTTTATGGAAGAAAAAAATTTTTTTTTTTACTCTCGATTAACTACGACGTAAAATATAAATATAATTAAATTTTTTTTTTTTTGTCTATTTACACGATAAAAATTTACAATAAATAAATAAATAAAAGTTCCGCCGGAAATGACGTCGACGACGATAAGAAGAAAACAATATGGAAGTCTTTTAACTCTCTCGAAAAAAATTTTTTTTTTTATTAATCATCCGTCCGTCACCTGACTGGAATGTACGGTTGTTCTTCCGTCGGACATTTTAATTTTAAAAATTCCGTGTCCCAATTTTTCGTTTTACTTCCGGGTGGTTCCATTAAATTATTCCAAAGTGCGTTTGCCGCTGGAAACGGAAATAATGATAATGATAATAATAATAAGGAGGTCAGTAAATAATTAATGACGATGATTAAAATTTTAATAATTACCGAAAAGATTAATTATTAATTAATTAATAATCGTTTTGTTTGTTTGTTTGTTCGTACAATCTTACCTTTGGCGTGTCCCAATTGACTCAAATGAAAACAATCGTGTGACAAATATCTTAAATCCGTTTGTAATAATCCGTTTGTTGTTTTTACCGTTGGAAATTTCGTTTCCACGAGAAAAGGTTGAACTACGACAGCAAAATCATTTTTTTTTTTAAATTTTGAACTCTTGACCTGTGTGCCGAGCGTTTAAATTTATTTTAATCAATCAATCAATATCATTATCATTATTATTATTGTTTACACTAATCGAAAATTTTATTATTATTATTATTATTAATATATTGTAATCATCATTATTATTATTATATTTACCACTTTAGATTCGATTTTTTGCCACCGAGACATGATTTTTCGATATTGTGACGTCATGTTTTCATATTTTTTATCCGACAAACAAGGACATTCGTATGGTTTGTAAAGTTTGTTGCACAACCACGGAAGACCGGAAAATTTCGGTAAAACGTTACCCAAATCTAAAAAACAAACAAACGAACAAACGAAAAAATTATTGTCACGCGTTTGTTAAAACAAAAGCAAAATAATTCGCGCCATTTTAAAAACGCGACATTTAAATAATAATAATAATATAAAAGTAGGAGGAAGAAAAAGGAGAAGGAGAAGAAAAAAGATTTAATTTCCGGTTCGTTCCATTATTACATCCGGTATAAAAATAATAATAATAATGAAATGAAAAAAAAAAATTGCGAAAAAGATTACGTTAGTTTTTTTTTTCTCTTTCTCTCTCTTTCTTTCTCTTCAATTTGAAAAATGTTTGATACATTTTTTTATAAGTTGAACCTTTTCGTTCCTTTTTTCGTTCCTTTTAAAATTAGAAAAATTTCAAAGGATTTTACCATTGATCTATTACAGGCTTAAATTTTAGAAATTAAATGGAAAGGCACTAATTTAATGTGTTTTTTCCTCTTTCCTCTTCTAAACTTTCGAAAAAAGAAAATTTTTCAAACTGAGGATTTTCTAGTAATTATCATTATCATTATTATTATTTTTCATTAAATAAAAATAAATAATCGGGGTGGGGAGAGGGAGGGGGTGGGGAGCACTCACTGATTTGTTGCACGACGTTGACGATCGTTTTGGGTAAATTATCCCGAAGTTTGATTAATGTTTCCATGAGATGTTTACGATGTTCTTCGACGATGTTTTCCGGATCGTCTCTGTGACAAATGCTAAAGCAAAAATCCATGGCTCCCACGAAAATGGTCACCATCTTTAAATGAAAAAAAAAAAAAAATTATTATCGATGACGTCATGTAAATAATAATAATGATAGAAAAAAAATGATCATTAATCACAATAAAATTAAAATTTATGTTTTTTTTTAATATTTATTTCGGATTCAAACTGTGAGATTGAGCGAAATGAGTGAGTGAGAGAGAGAGAGAAAGTGAAACGGCAAAAAAATTTTCTCTCCATAAAATTTCTTTCTCTCTCTCTCTCTCTCTCCCTCTCAATTTTTTTTTTTTTTTCATCCGTAGGAAAGTTTCCGATGAGAGTAGGAGAGAGAGAGTGTAAGGGGAAAGGAAAGGAAAAAACAAACGAGGGGGTGAACTATAAAACATTGTCTATCATGTTTTGCTTTTAGTTTCTATTTCGTTTGTTGTTGTTCTTGTTTGTTGTCGGTTGTTGTGAAAAGGGATGGATGAATTCTTAGTAACAAAAAAGGACAGTTTTTGATATGATGGATTTACACCCTCGAGGCAAAATTTCTAAAAATATGTTTTCGACTCATTCGTTCATTTTCTAAATTATTAATTATACGGAAATTTATTTAAATGAACGGATTCTCTCTCTCTCTCTTTTGTTTCTCTCTCTTGCTCTCTGTTCGTTATTTCTCTCACCTTCCAATCTTGTTCGTTATCGATTTCCGGATGATTTTTGATTCTTTCTATTAATGTTTCGGACATTTGTACGAGGTCGCGACTTCTTGCACCCGGTTCGGCAGCGTTCAACTGACTCCTTTCTCTGTTTGCCGAATATAAAGAGTCTCCAGTTGAGTATCCGATCAAATTAGGATTAAATTCTTTTAAAATGTTCGGCAAAGTTAAATATTTTCTCCAGTTTTCTTGTCCTCCTTTTAAATCAAAAATAAACACTCGTCGTGAATTTGCATTTTTAATCGCGTCATCATCATCATCATCATTATTATTTATATACGAGATATTATTACCTATCGCCCATGACACTCCTCTGTTCGCTATGAAAACTTGAAAAACGTTTGTCGAAACTGCACCATTTGCAGCTACCAAACTATCTCCAATGGCTGCTATCACATCTATATCTCCGGGCCTGACCTTGGTAACAGATTTTGGCCTTTTTCTCGACCTCGAATTATTTGTAGGACAGGGAAATGATATTTCCGGTGATATTTCCTCTTGCAATTTCTATATTTAATTTTTTTTTAAAAACAAACAAACAAACAGGCGTCATCATTATTAAATTGAATCGCCAAAAAAAAATTCATTATTATTATTATTGAGTATGGTAATTTGTTAACGCCCCCCCAAGACACTTTAAAATCCTCTTTAACAAAACAAAAATTAATAACAAACGTGAAAAAAAATTATTATTATTATCGATAATCGTCAAACGTGGTGAAAATAGGTGTTAAAAGTGCGTGCTTGAATTTTTGTGTGCGTGAGTGAGTGCGTGCGTGCGTGTTTATCCATTAATTTTTTTAATTTAAAACGAAATAGGCGTTGAAATAGGCGTTACGTTGACGATGATAATAATAATAATAATAATAATAATAATAATAATAATAATAATAATAATAATAATGTTCTGTTCTTTTCCTAATTTTTAACCGAAACTTCTTTTTCAAAAAAATAATAAAAAATTCATTTCAACCTGTTAACTCGTTATTATATCTCGGCAAAAAAACGTCAAGTGAGAGGATACGGTCCTGTCACATGGTCACAATAATACACGTTTAATAAAACTAACGGTCGTTTTTTTTTTTTTTTTACGCATCGGATTCAAACGGAAAAAAACAAAAATACGGTTACGCATATTAAAAAATTCACGACAACGCTTAAAAAATTTTAAATTTTATTTGTTATTAACGGGGGGCAGGAGGGGAGAGAGAGAGGGAAATATACTCACGTTCATTTGTCGGGCTAATTCTAACGATTTTGCCGAATGTCCGGTTTTCCCGATCAAATTATAAATCAATTGTAATATTGATGACGTCAATTCCAAATGTCTTCCAACGTTTTCTCCATAATCTTCGTCATATTGTAAAAAATCATCGTAATCGTAATCCTGATTTGTAGGATATCCGTAATCCGACCACAACCGGAAACACTCACATTGTTTTATACACGTTGAAAAAATTATTGTTATTGTCATCATCGCGGTGAAAATTTTTATTATCATCATCGTTGCACGTATATTTTTTGATTTTATGTCTCACCTTGACCATGACAATTAATAAAATGTTAAATATTATTATTATTATCACTGCTACTACTACTGCTACCACTACTACTATACACGTCGCATTTTTATTTTTACGAGGGCGGGAGAATTCGGGGGTGGTGAGAGTGGGAGTGGCAGGAGGAGGAAGAGAAGGAAGAGAGAATCAAACTCGCGGTTTTTTTTTTTCGTTAACGAATTTCGAGAGGTACCAACCTTCTCCGTCGGTTTTATTTCAAATACTAAATCTCCCAATCAATTTATAACGAGTATCAAGTACTCGTGATATATACACGCTCTCGACTACGTTTACACCTTTATCTCATTAAAAAAATTAAAATATCTTGGTCAAGTATTTTTTTTTTTTTTTTAAACGTTGGAGAAAGTTAATAAGTCCGTTATCATCATTATCATTATCATCATTATTATCATCATTAATATCATCATTATCATCATCATTATTATTATAGGGAGCTTAAACTTTCCAACTTTTAGTATCGAACCTTTTTTTTTGTTTTTTTTTAATTAAACGTATTTAGGACGGTGAAAATTTAAAAAAAAAAAAATTCCATCCGCGAAAATAAAACAATCGGATTGTTTTCGTACTTATTATTATTATTATTATTTTTAATATTATTATTATTAACAAATGGTTTTGTTGCGGTGGTGGTGGTGGTAATGACGTAGATGTTTTTTTTTTATACATTTAATAAATCGTATTATTTTGATAAAGAGAGAGAGAGAGATTGTTGATAATGAAGAAATAAACGAAACCGGAACGGCGCCATTTTTTTTTTTTTTGTATTCCAAATATTTATTACATTAGAAGGAAATAGAAAAAAAAAATTTTTTCAGGTACGATACCTACTAACGACCGACCTTTACTAACACGTTTAATATTCGGTCTCGCCAGGTGTGTGTGTGGGTTTTTACTAAAATAAAATGACCTAAATTTTTTTTTTTTTTTTTGTTTTCATCTTACTCATTATAAAATAATGAGAACGTGGAATAATAATAAGAAGAACAACAACAACAAACAACAACATGATTATGATTTGTTATGGTTTTTTTTTTTTTTTTTAAATGAATGACTCAGTCGTGGGTTCTCTATAAGGAAAAGAATGTGGTTAACAAACAAGGTGTAGTTGTTAGTCTTAGTGTCAGTGAATAACATAAATTTTTGATGGTAACAAATCAAAAAAAAAAAAAAAATCGGTTTGCTAGTTTACACCGAAAGAAAAAAGGCGGGAAATTTAAATTTTTAAATTTTTTTCTTTTTCGGGGAAGGGGGACATTAGGGAGATTTTTTAAATTTATTTCTACATATATATAAACTTTTTAAAAGTTTTTTTTTTGTAATTAAATTAAAAAGGAATAACCTTTTTATAAGAAAGGATTACGCAAAGGAATTTCCTTTGGCTGTTTTTTTTTTTTTTTCGCAGTTAAAGGCCGTTATGATTCACGGCGACGGTTAATTTCTTTTGTTGCTGTTTGTTGTTGTTGTTGTTGTTGTTAATACGTATTGCAGATGTAAGAAAGAATAATTTTCTTCCGAACAAAACCCGTTCATTTTTCAATAATTTTATCGAGTTGTTGTCATCATTATTATCATTATCATTATTTGTTATTATTATTATTATTATTATTATTATTATTATTATTATTATTATTATTATTATTATCATTATTATTTATTTTTAGCAAATTTAATAAACGATCGCGCACGCTCTCAAAAAAAAAATTTAATTGCAACGCAGAAAAAAAATAATTTAAATATTTAAATTACTTTTTTTCGCTCATTTTTGAATTTAAAAAAAAACCCAGGTCAAAGGTCGATCGGTGGTAGGGGAGGGAGGGGAAACGAGGGGGAAAAAAACTAGATTTTTTTTTTAAAAACGAATTTATTTATTATTTTTTAAAGCTAAAATTAAAATTTTTACCAAAAGTTTTTACTAAAACGAGGGTAAAAACTTTTTAAAACGAAGGAATCGGAAAATTTATTAAAGATGATGATAATGATAATAATAATGATAATAATAACCGGTTTTGATAGGAATCGTCCGATTAATTAAAATACGATAAATATTTTTTTTTTTGTTTTTGTTTTGACAACTTATAAATTTTTTTTTTTTCGGCCCGTTTTTTTTTCGTACGATCGACAAACTTTTTTCTTCTTTTTTTTTTTTAAATAAAAAAAAAAACAACATTAATGATAATAATAATTAAAAAAAATGGTTGAAAACTTGTCTAGAGTCAAAAATCAAAGTCAATAATAATAATAATAATTGCAAAAAAAAAAGTTAAATAAATAAAATAATAATAAATTATTGTTATCAACTTGTTTTCATAACTTGTCCTCCTTTTATGACGAAATAAATAAAAAATATTCTTGTACTACAATCACTGACAACAACAACAGTAACAACAACAACAACCGTTTGTATTATTTGTCGTATGAGCGCGAAGCAAGTTTTTTTTTTTTTTTTCGTTTTTCTTAATCTCACTCCACGGCTTTTTGTGAATTTTTAGGTAAAAGCCAACAAAGACCAGCTCCGACTGAAATTAAAAAAAAATTTTTTTTTTTAGTTTTTCTTTCGGCTTTTCCGCAATAATAATGATAACGTTTTCTTAATAAATCTTATATACTTACATATGATAACACCTCCTAAGAAGAAAAATGGAACTTCGCAACTTGCATCCAATAACAAACCGAAAATTAAATTACTGCAAATGGCTCCCAAACGACCGAATAATATACCGACGCAAACGCCGACCGCTCTGTTAATTAATTAATTAAAATAATTAAATAAAGGCAACGTTTGTACACACATAAACAAACAAACAAACAATGAACGTTATGCAACGTAACGAACAAATATTTGTCGTAAAACAATCGCATAACAAAAAAAACCGACGGTCGAAACCGGATAGAGTGAGTGAGAGAGAAGGAAGAAAAATAATTTTCTCACCTTACAGAAGTCGGAAATAGATTAACAATGCAACTTCCGATTGTCGTCATGGCCGTACCAACTCCCGCCATGAACAAACAATTAACAATAACAATTTGAATTTCGGATCGTGAAAAGTAAACAATGATGGTGCATATTCCAGAGACCAACATTGACAAAACTATTCAGAAAAAATTAAAAAATAAATTAAAAAAAAGGAAATTAACAATAATAATAATGATGATGATGAAGGTACGACCTGAAAGTATTCTTCCGCCGACTTTATTTGCCAAAAGAACGGCCAAAACATTTCCCACACAAGCAGCCGAACCGATGATGAAAGTATTTGTAAAAACTGCTAAATTAACTGATCTTTGCGGACACGTGCTCGTTAAATTTCTAACCGATGGTAGAGAGAGAGAGAAAATTCATAATTATGTATTAATAAAAATTTATTAATTAATAAGTTTAGAAGAAGAAGAATAACGTACGATAAAAGTACATCGTCGAAATCGTAACTTTTCGCCGTTAAATTTTGATAACGTGATAATTCGCAAACGGTAACCGTTTCGTCTGGATGTATTGCGTAATATGCCTGGAACCTATTGAAAAGTTCTGGAAGCCACAAACCTAAACCGTAATACCTGAAAATATATTTTTCGTTTTAAAAATTACGTAAAATTATTTACGATCGATGACGATGAGGATAACGTATCGCGAATAATTATTTAAAAATGGCGTCGTTTCTTGGTTCAACTCACCCGAAAAAATTAGAAAAATAAATACTTGAAACAAGGCAGGCTCTTTTCGCATGAGGATGACGGAAAACTTGTCTCATCTGTGAGAAAACCATAATGACGACATCTTTTGGACTGTATGATTTTTTCACGTGGATACCATTTTCTTTGACGTCATCGATACTAGCACCATAAGTCGTAACTAATCGTTTTACCTTTTGAATCGAGAAAAATTTTGTTCGGTTCTTAAAAAAATTTTTTTTTTTTATTAAAATTTCAATTTAGGGGGGGGGGTTATTACCGGATAAGTTTCGGGTGGATTTCCGGTATTTTTATGATACATTTTTTTTAATATGTCAATGGCTTCGGTTTCTCTTCCGTGAACGTATAAAAATTTCGGAGTTTCCGAACAGAAATACGTTATTAGTATACCGGATATTATGCTCGGAGTACCACCAATCATGGAAACGAACGTTCTCCACGTGTTGTATTTAAAACCGGATATTTCAAATGATAATCCGGATGGTATTACCAACCACGACACGACTAGAAAGGAAAAAAAATTTTTTTTTTTTTTCAAATCGTAATTGGTGGGTGCGAGGGTGCGTACGTGTGTGTGAACGAAGTACTGTACTCACTCGGAAGTATCAACCACGCCAACGTCCATGAAAAACCTATGATGCAAATGGCTCTAGCTCTGTGGGTATCAGAACAAAATTCTCCGACGTATGAAAAAATCAAACAACCCGGACCACCGCTCCTGTTAATAATAATAATAATAATAATTAAAGAGTGATGCCGATCGTTGCAAAAATAAATGAAAAGGACGTTACATGAAACCGGAAATGAATCTGATAACGGCAAACATGACGTAAGATGTTGACCAACTAGCGGATATCGTCGATATGCCACCCAATATCAGAGCAACCATAATAACTCTTTTTCGTCCGATTATGTCGGCGACAGCTCCGCAAAATATCGAACATGTTATGCTTCCTTTAAATAAAAACACAAAAAAATAATAATAATAATGATGATGATGATGATGATGATGATAGGGAAGAAGGAGAAATAATTATTTACCTGCCATAAACATGGCGTTTATCAGACCCATTTGTGCCGTTGAAATTTTCAAATCGCATTGTGCGTATGGTAGAGTATATGCGTGAAGACCGTATTCCAGACCGCTGGACAAAAAACAATATCCACCGAGTGCAATCAAAAATATGTGATACCTTCCATATCCTGTTAATTTAATGGCTGTGTCTAAATCCGCGATTTCGTTTTCTTTGCTGCCGCCTTTTTCATCGCCTTCGTCGTGACGGCGAACCAGAAGACAAAAAGAAAAAAAATTTTTATTTCTCACGTGACTTTTCATTCATTCGTGATTATGAATTTTTATTTAAAAAAAAAAAAAAATAATTACCGGATAATTTTAAATCTGGTATCTTCATTTTTTCCGTTATCATATCCAATCTCTCACTCTCTCTCACACTTTTTCTCTTTCTCTCTCTCTCTCTCGCTCGCTACCGTAATAATTTCGAGAAGTTCTCACGACGACTAAAAACCAAATGAAATCAATGTCTAAATTATATAGTTTCTGTCGTGAATATGAAAGACATTTATTTATTACTTTTTTAAAAAAAAAAAAAACAAAAAAAAAAGAAAAAACAATAGAGGAAAGAGTCCTTCAGAAGCAAACGGTTAAGTCAATAATAATAATGATAATAACGACGTATACGCGCACGCACACGCAGGTGGGAAAAAAAGAAAAAAAGTTAAAAGGAAAAACTTTTCTTTAATAATTGAAAAACGAACGTGGCACTAAAATAATTAAATTCCGATTTTTACTATAATGAGAACATTCTAGAATATTTTGCAGTGATGCCATCCGTACCAAAAAAAAATCCGTTTATCAGGATTGCAACCTTTCCAAAAAAAAAAAAAAAAAAAAAATTTATCGAATCGAAAAATATTTTTATTTAAAATTAAATTATCAAAAGAGAGAGAAAGAGAGAGAGAAAAAAAGTGTCGACAACCGTAAAAAAAAAAAAAGGGGAAAATGGCGGAAAAAATTGATGATGGTTTGACATGATTGATGCAAAACATTCTAGAATTTTCTTCTTCTTCTTCTTCTTATTTTTAATTTTGTTTTATTTATTTATTTTTTGCTGCTGCTGCTGTTGTCGTTGTCGTCGTCGTTGATCAAAAGTTTTCACTGTTGTAAAAAATAAAAATGAGGGTTTTCAGTCTCTCCTTTTCCTGTTGTTTATTATTATACAAAAAAAAAAAAAGGGATGCTTATGTTGGTAGTAGTGGTGGTGGTGAATTACGACTCGAGGGATGATAATCTCTTTTATCATTCCCGTATATATTTTTCCGAAAAAAAAAAAAAAGAAAATTATCATCAACTTTAGTGTTTCTTTCCTTTTTCTTCGATGACAACAACAACAAAAAAGGTTTTCCTTGTTTGTTTGTTTGTTTGTTTGTTTGTTTTTCCCTTTCAACAATAAATTTTAAACGGGAAAGAAAAAAATTTTTTTTTTTTTTTGAATATTTGATGATAAAAATTGCAATTTTTGACGTTTTATGCCCCTGACGCTTGATTCATAATCGCGATGTATTCCTTTCCTTTTTTCCTTTGATAAAAAGAAAAAAATTTTCCAAGAGTTTTAATAAAAAAAAAGGAAAAAAAAAGGAAAATGACGACGTAAAAAAAAAAAAAAATTGCGCAATTTCTATTATTCTTCTTTTTCTTTTTTTTTTTTCGTCACTCTGTAATTCTAATGTCACGTACGAAGGATATCTGTCTGTCGAATTAGAAAAACGTTCATTGATAAAAACAACAGCAACAGCTAATAATACAAACGGTTACAACAACAGCAACGTTTTGTCAAATATACGTTATCGTAATCACGATAATGTTTGTCGTTTGTCACAATTTCTTTTTTTTTTTTTTTCCTCGTCGTTAACCTCGCGTTATTTAACATCATCATCATCATCATCAACATCATCATCATTATTATTATTATTAATTATTTAAGAGTAAGTGAGGAGTCGTGTACCTGAACTTTGGCGTGTTTTGCTTCTTTTTTTTTCGCTTTTGTTTTGTTATTTTTTTCGGGTAAAAATTAAATTACGTAAAAATACAGTGTTGCCGTTTTGTCAAATTTTTCTTTTCGACGTGATTGTGGAAGCAGAAAGCGTCGTAATTAATCGTCAGGGATTCAAAACTAAAAATTTCAATAATAATAATAATAAAACTACGGGAAAAATAATTTTTTGTTTGTTTTTTTTTCTCCAGAGGGAAGGGGGAAGGGGAGGGAAGGAGGAGGCGGTGGGGGCGGTGGAGAAGGGAAAATTGATAAAAATATTATTTCAGTAAATTTTTTTTTTTTTTTTTTTTTACAAAGGGTTCTCTCTCTCTCTCTCTGTTTAATCGTTTTAAATGCAAAGCTTTCGTCGTCGATCCTTTTTTTTTATACGTACGACCGTAATGAGTTATGGAAAATAGAAAAGGGATAAATAAAATGCTGGAAAGTCACTGGAGAAACAAGGGGGAGGGAGCGAGGGGAGGAGAGAGGGGGAAGATGAGGATTTAAAAGTTAATACTCCGGAATATAGTAATTTTTATAAGTGACACTTGTCATTTTTAATTTTCATTTTCATTTTTATTTATTTAATTAAAGGTTTTTTTCCTCCCGTTTTATTTATTTTTTTTTTTTATAGAAAATGTTAAACAAATTATTTTTCTAACTCATCGTTAAATCCGCCTTTTTTTTTAAATCCGCCACATATTTTTTTTTTTTTTTTCATATCTCACACCTTTATTTATGACGTAAGGTTAAAAAGGTTACGTGTTTAAACGTTTTTTCTTTTTTTTTTTACCTTTTTTTTTTAAATTATTTTTTTTACAAAAAAAATTTGTTTTTGTTTGTTTTTGTTGTTTTTTTTTTTAAAAAAAATTTTTATTCTATACCAATCGATCGATCGATCAATCGAATATCGATGTTATCGATTTATTGAATTATTATTTATTAAAAAAAAAAAAAAAAAAAAAATCGGTTTGTAAAAATTATGTTAAATAATTTTGGTTTTTCATGTTTTTGCAAAAAAAAAAGAAAAACTTTTCCGACTCTGATGATGATGATGATGATGATGTTTGTGTTGATAATGATGATGATGATGATGATGATAATAAAAATAATGATAAATACAAATAAAAATTATTAATGAATAAAAACGAAGCAACGACTATGGCCAAAAACAAAAAATAAAAAATAAAAAATTTACGAGTTCGATGATTATGATGATAATGTTTGTGGTGATAACGATGATAATAATAATGATGATAATAATAATGATGATAATAATAATAATGATAATGATGATGATAAATAGAAATAAAAATAATAAATGATTAAAAACGAAGCAACGACAGCGGCCAAAAACAAAAAATAAAAAAAAAAGTTTTTTAAATTTATTTTTCTAATGTTGGTAGCACGTATTATTAAAAAAAAAAAAAACTCATTTAAACTTTATTTAAAAATATATTAACTGTAAAATAAGCTCTTACTAAAATTTTTATTCCAGTTAATTCATTTAATTAATTACTTTTTTAACAGCAGAAGAAGAAAAAGAAGAAAAATTTTTTTTTTTTTAATTTATCGTTTTGTCCGTTTTTATAACTTTCCGTTTTTTTTTATTATGTAAACCAAAAAAATAATTATTAATTAATTAATTACCTAATTAATAAGAGTAATAATAATAATAATATAGTAATAAAAATTTTATTAATTGGACCGAATAAAAATTAGTAAAGACGACACAGTTAAGATGATGATAAAAATTATCGATAAACTAAATTTCTCTTACAAGTTTTTTTTTAATAAAAAAAAATTTATTTAAATAATAATAATTATTATTATTATTTAGTGCGAATCGTTTAAATATCGAACGATACGTCAATCAATATCCCGATATATCGAAATAAATAAATCGAATCGTTTTTAACGTAATAAATGACAAAACGAATTTTCTTTAAAAGAAAATTCGAAACGTTTTGTTTTTCTTCTTAAAAAAAAAAAAAAAAAAAAGTGGAAGAAGAAAAAAAAAGAAAACATCGGGGAACTAACACTTAAAACGATAAAAATCTACAAGAGAGAAAGAGAGAGAGGAGAGAGAAAGATAGAAATCGACATTAATATATTTTATTACTCGCATAAAAAAAAAAAAGAAAAATAATGCAAATCTCCAATAAAGAAAAAAAAAAAGTAATTTTCATCCCTTCGATATATATATTCACATACATAAATCAAAAATAATAAAAATATTATTATTATTATTACAATTATCGCTACGATGCAATAATAATAATAATTTCTTTCTGTCTCGTGTAAAAATATTACCCCTGCCCCCTCGCTCCCCACGCCAAAAAAAAAAAAAAAATTTTTTTTAACTTGATACGTTTAAAATGTAAAGTCACGAAAAACAAATATTAAATTAATAATAATAATAATAATAAAGTTTACTTACCTTACCTTACGTATTATATTATTATTATTATTTATATTAATTACGTTTGTTATTGTTAGCGAATGGAACAAAAACAAACAAAAACAAACCGCATAATTTCATGTAGTAAAATAAGACGATTGCATAAGAGAGCAATTGGGGGGCGGTGGGGGAGGTTTTAAAAAAAAAGGGAAACAACCACGTACTTCATATAATTTTTATTTTATATATATGTGGTGCGGGAGGTGGAGGAGGAGGAATGGGGGAGGAAAAGAATCCCAAACAATTTTTAAATAAATACACATGGGAAAAATTTTGTTTTGATATATATATATATATTTATTTAAAAATGGCGTCATACGTTTTGTCAATTTCTTATTCTTTTCTTCTTAATACAGCATCCAGTAACACTCGTTTGTTACGTTTTAGATTCGTTGTTATAATAAAAACTTGTCATGAATCCCGTTCGAACGGTTGTTGTTCGGTTGGTTGTTCGTGTTAAGAGAAAATTTACGATTGTTTTATCATTATTATTATTAGAAAATGCTCCCTGTCTTTTTTTTTCTATCTCTCTATAGTCGACTCTCTTTTCCACTTCCTTCCTTCCTTTCTTTTAGTTTGTCAGAAGGTTAGATTTAAATCATATCACGTGCTCCGACGAATCACCCTTCCAACGTGTGATGAGGGGAAAAAAGGAGATGGTACAGGGAGGGGAGGGGCCGTTAGTAAAAATCCTTTGGCTTAAATTAAATTTTAGAAAGTAAGACGAGAGAGAGAGAGAGTAAATCAACATGGTTCGTATGTGCGACATCATTAGATTTTTATACAATTTACGAATCCCGGTTCGTATTTGGTATATCATCCATATTGTTTGTTGTTGTTGTTGTTTTCCCTGATATTATAAATTAAATTTCTCACGTCGTAAAAGGTTTTATTTATAATAATAATAATAATAATTTTTACGTGTGGATTTACCTGAAAATAATTAAAACGTGTTTGTTGTCGATGTGTTTCTCTCTCTTTCTCTCTCTATTTTTTTTTTCTCTACTTTAGGTTCGCTTTTTGAAATAAATAAATAAATTTTTTTTTTCACTTTAAGAAATGGAGAGAGAAGGAGAAAGAAAGAAAGAGAGAAAGAAAATGTTTAAAGCTTTATTGGAAAATGCATTTTTCTTTTTTTTTCTTTTTTTTTTTTGCGTGCGCTTTTTTCAATTCTCATGAATTTAAAATTTTTTTTTTTTTCGGTAAAAAAATAAATTTGATTTTTTTTTTCCTTCCCCCCATCCTCCCCCGAAAACGAAAAGTGAATTTCCAAAAAAAAAAAGTGAATGCGAGCGGTGCCATAGATTAGTTTAGAGACTTTTGGGAATTTTTTTTTTTTTTTCATATGGCCTCCGAGATTTTACAGATTTATTTTATTTAAAAAAAAAAACTTTTCTTTTCATTTTCCTTTTTAATTTAGAAGGATACATTTTTTTAAATGCATTCAATTATGAAAAATTGCATATTGTGGAAAATTTTTTAAAAAAGTTTCTTTTTTTTTTTTTTTTTAATGCGAAAAGTAAAAGCATACGCGACGCGGAAAAACTTCTGGAACTACCTAATAATAATAATAATAACTATATGAAAATTCCCACGAAACGTCTGGAGAAAGAGAAAGAGAGAGAGAGAAAAAAGTAAAACAACAACCGAAAAATATATATATAAATAGATATAGAAACGTCCTAAACAATTTTCATTCCTATTTTCGTTTTCATAAATCAAAAAAAAAAAAAGTAAATCCACCGACAAACCGATGTAATAAACATTATTAAATTTTTTTTTTCTTTTTGTCGTCGTCGTCGTCGTCGACGTCAACTTCCGGTATTTCCGGAAAAAAAAAAAAAAAAAATTTATATCATTCTTTTTTTCTTTTTTCTCATTCCGACAATAATAAAATTATATAAATTTATATATATTTATATTAAAAAAAAAAAAAATTTTTTTTTTTCTTCCCTACTATTTACCATCATTATTATTACTTTTTATTCGAAAATTAATTAAAAAAGAGGAAAGAAAAAAAGGAAAAAAAAGGAAAAGGAAAAAAAAAAACAATAAAAGGGAAAAAAAAAAGGTTGCGTAGAAATGAAAAAACATTAACTTGTCAAAATGACAGACAAAAGGGGTTGTGAAAAGGTAATGAAAAAGTTAAAACGTCGTCAAGAACGTTGAAAATTAAAAAAAAAAAAAAATTATTATTATTATCATTATCATTATCATCATTACGATCGTTATCATCATCATCATCATCGTCATTATTTTATTTTTTTTTTCGTAAAATAAAATTCTATGATGTCGTCATATAAATACGGAAAAATAGAAAAAATCTAAAAAGAAAATTTTTATATTTTTGTAACCGTCGCGAAACTTGCACGTGTACACTCACGCACTCACGCACGTGCGTCATAATAAGTATATTTATGTATAAAAACTCGATCGGTTTTGAAAAAAGGAAAACAAAATGGCGTCGTTTTTTTTTTCTCCAGCAACGTCATCGGTCGACCTGATTTTTTTTTTTTTCCTACCGTTAAACCTTTTTAAAGAATTTTTTTTTTTCTCGTTAAAGTGCGTGTTTGCGTGCGTACGAATCGAAATTTCTTTTCTTTTTTTTTTTTCGTCTCGTTTTTCACTGAAGTGAAAATTCCAAAGCATTTTACCACTCGAAGAATTTTCCTTTTTTTTTTTTTTCTCTTTTCGTTTCGCCAAAGCGAGTTTTTCAAAAAGTCGTAAATTTTGTTTTTATGGTTTTTAATAATGTATATAAGTGGTTCTTCTTTTCTTTTTTTTTGATGAAAATTTCCGCTGGAAATAATAATGATAATAATAATAATAATAATGCGAAGAAAAGAAAGGAAAAAAGGAAGAAAATTCGTTTGAATTTTTTTTTGGTTTTTGGACGACAACAAAATTTTCCCACCGTAATCGTGTAAAATTTTTTTATTAATAATAAAATTATTAATTAAAATTAATCGATTGATTGATCGATCGATTAATCGATAATTTTACCAATAAATAATCGAAAATAATTTTTGAAAAAGAATAAAGAAAAAAGAAAAAATTTCGATTTAACTCCGTCGTCATTCGTTTTAACTCATCATTTAATTAAATAAGGAACATAAATAAAACGAATTTGTTTTCTTCTGCTGCTGCTCTTGTTTTTGTTTTTGTTTTTAATGTCGGAAAAGATAAAACGAAAGGAAAGGAAAAATATATGTGCTTTTAACATTTAACATTTTTTTGTTTTTATCTTCTGCTTTTAATTTACGACTTGGAAAAAATAAAAAAAAATTTAATCGACGATTTTGTTTTTCCAATTCCAGTTGCAAACACATGGGAAATTTTCTTTTTTTTTTTTTTGCATTTATAAAAACCTTTTCCGAATTATTATTATTATTATTATTATCATTATTATTATTGTTTATTTCAAAAATATAAAGTCACTAAAAAAAAGGAAAGAAAAGGAAAGGATTTTGTTATTATTATTTTCTTTAAAAAATTTAAAAAGGTTTTCTTTCTTTCTCTCTTTTTTTTTATATAACTTAAAAAAAATATATAAAAAGGAAACGTGAAGGATCCGAGGGGGCCGGAGGGGGGCGGTAAGAAAATCCTTTTTTTTTTTTTTTTTTTTGGTAAGAAAAGAAAAAAAATAGCAAGAAGAACATTTTTGACTTTAAGTGGACGGCAAATGGAAAATAAAAAATCTAAAGTGACAGATAACAAGTTGACTTGTGAAGGTTTAAACCTTTTTTGCCTTTTTTTTTATTTACATCGGTGGGACGTAAAAAAAAAAAAAAATGGCGGATGAAAAATAGAAGAGTTTGAATAATTATAGAATAAAATATAAAAGTTTGTAAATAAATTAATAGCTCCGAAAAGGAGCACAAGAAAAAAAAAAAGGATTTTGATTGAGTCCTTTTTCCTTTCTTTCTTTTTCCTTCCTTTCATTCGATAAACTCATGGAAAAAAACTATGGAAAATTTTCTTTTTTTTATTTTCTTTTCGTTTGATGATGATGGAAAAACATATTTCGTTGTAGTAAATACAACGTTTTTCTTTTTTTTTCTTTTCCAAACTTTCAAAATAAATTTCAAAAGTTTTGACTTTTGGAAAAGTCGTAAGTTTTTTCTTAACCCTAGATCGTGTCTCTCGTAAAATGAATTAACCTCATCATCATCATCATCATCATCATCCCCACCATCATCGTCATCATCATCTTCACCTTCATCATCTCCACCACCACCATCGTCATCATCAACATCATCAGCATCGTCATCATCGTAATCCCCACTACTATCACCATCATCATCATCCTCATTACCACCACCACCACCATCGTCATACCCACCTCCAACATCATCCCCACCATCATCATCCCCATCACCTTCATAATCGTCACCATAATAATTTTTTCATTTTCTTTTTTTTATAAAGGTCAAAGTCATGCTGAAAGTGACGGGTACTCCATCGACGATGCCATCAGGCAACCAATCGTTTTTCAATTTGGACAGCAGGAAAAAACAAGTCACTCTATACGATCCAGCTTTGTGCGGTACTCCGGCAACTCCCGAAGACAGAAGAGTCGGAGTTGCAGCACCTAAAATGTTTGCATTCGATGCCATATTCACTCAGGACGATTCTCAGGTTTGTTAAATGACGTCATCACTTTATCTAAATATTTTCCAAATCGAATTTCCTGATTATTTAAAAAAAAAATTTTCAAACGGGAAATTAACGAAACTAATTTTAAAATCACTCGTAGACGAATAAAAAAAAAAATATATTTTCTACTGCCACTACTACTATTATCATTATTATTATTATTTGACTTGAATAAAATTTGGAATGTTTTATTAAAGCAAACAAGATTCTAGGAAATAATGTGAAAAGTTTGAGACGAAAAGTTTGAAATCATTTTTTTTTCTTTTTCTTTTTCATTTTGTTTCAAAACCGCAGAATCACGCAAAAAAAAATGAGAAAAGTAAAAAGATTTAAAAAATATTTTTGATTTTATTTTCAATTAAAAAATAATTATTCTTCTGCCACGATTATAAACCGAAGAACAAAAAAAATTAATTTATTTTATTTTTTCTTTTAATGGAGCCTAAAGTAAAATTTTTTTTTTTTTTTTGGGGAAATTAATGAATTCTAATTATCGATTTCGATATTATTATTATCATTATTATCATTATTATTATTATTATTGTTTTCGTAACGGAAAAAAAAGGTTTTTTATTAATAAGTAAAATCTTTTGAAAGTTTTTTTTTTTTTTTTGAAGGGTCGTAAACCTTTTTTTTTTTTTTCATTTTCCCCCAACATACACATATTTTCAAACCGCAGATGGAATTAATTGTTTAACAAATTTTTTTTTTCTTCTGCTTCTTTTCGTCTGCTTTAATTTTTCTCTCTGCCTCTCTCTCTTTCTCTTTCTCTTTTTTTGTTGCTCTTTAAAAAAGCATTAAAAAAATTTTTTTTTTTTTGGCTTCCTTTTATTTTTAATTTTTTTTTTTTTTTTAATAAATAATCTTGCGTAATAATAATAATAATGATAATAATAGTGATGATGATGATATTAAACGGGTAAAAAAGGAATGATGAGAGAGAGAGAGAGAGAAAGTGTGTGTGTGTAAAAAAAACGGAAAATTTGACGTCATCATTTTTTTTTGTTTTTCATCCCTTTTCGTTCTTCGACGCCATCGAAATTCCGCCATTAAATAAATTAATTTTTTTTTATAATTATTTGGGGAGGGGGAAGGAAATAAGTTGGCAATACTGAAACGTAAGCAATCACTATCAAAGCGCGGGAAAATGTTGTTTGTTTACATTTTTTAAAAATTTGTTTTTTGTTTAAACAGGCCGAAATATGTTCGACGGCATTGACCGATATCATTCACGCCGTTATCAATGGTACGGACGGTTGTTTGTTTTGTTTCGGTCACGCAAAATTAGGTACGTGACACGTTTTTATTTGTTATGACGTCATCAGGTTTTTTTTAAATTAATTATTTTTGTGTTGGTTGTGGAGCAGGTAAAACGGGTACAATGTTAGGAAGTCCCGAATCCGTAAACACGCTGGGAATAATACCCTGCGCCATAAGTTGGCTTTTTCGTGGCATACACGAGCAGAAACAAAAAACCGGTGCCAGATTTTCCGTACGAGTGTCTGCCGTCGAAGTTTGTCAACCGACGCAACAACTTAAAGATTTATTAGCCGGACATGCAAACGGTGAGTGCAAATAATTCCGCTAACAAACGACAAACAGCAACAGAATTATTTTTCTTTTAAAACTAATTTTTTTTTTTTTTTTTTGTTAAATCGATTTGAATTTTTGTGTGTTCCGATTGTTTGTCGGATTTGTTTCCGGTTTTTTTATTTATCGTAGAGTTTGTTCGTTTGTTTGTTTGTTTCGTATAAAAAGTTTCGTGTTTATTAATTTTTTTTTCCGTTTTAAAACAAAAACATTAATCAATCGAGGGAAAAAAGAAAAGAAACGAAATAAAAAAAATTTATTAGTGCACTTAATAATAAAAAACACGTTAATTAATTAATTAATAATAATAATAATGATAATAATAATGATACTAATAATAATAATAATTAATAAAAATTACATTTTAGTTAATTAAAATCGTCGCGTTATCTCTTCTTATCATTTTTTTTTTATGTTTAGTTGACGAAAAAAATTAATTTTCATTATGAAAGGATTTACAAAGGGGGGGGGGGGGAAACGAACGGTTTTACGATTTGTTTTTACATAATTAATAATAATAATAAAGTTTAAAAAAGAGAATCGTAAATTTCGGGAAAGACAAAAAAAAAAAAAAAACGACAAACGGGAAGGGAGGGCGAAAAGACAAAACAAAAAAGCTAAACTAAAAGACACACAAACAAACAAACGAACAAACGAAAATAATAATAAATTAAAGAGAGAGAGAGAGAGAGAGAAAAATTTAACGAAAAGAACAGAAAAAAAAGCGTCATTTGACTTTAAGAGCGGCCATTATTTAAAGATGCTGCTGCATGAAGATTCAAATCAGAATGAGATGAAGAAGGGGAGGGGTGATGTGAGGGGGCAGGAGGAAGGGGGTGGATTTTTTACACTTTCGAGTACCGTTTACCATATTTTTTTTTTTTTTAAATTTAACCTCGCTCCTCTCCCCGCCACGAAAAAAAAAAAATTGCCACTCGGAATTATTTTCATATAGATTTCTTTCTCGGAATTTCCCCGCCGCCCTCCTCCCGCCCCCCTCACGGAAAAGAAAAAAAATAATTTCTGAGGGTAATTTTAGTCTGGAATTTGTGGCGCCTATTCATTCTTACAACGAGTCGTCGTCGTCGTCGTCTGCTCTCGTTCGTTTTTCTTTAATTAAAAAAAAAAAAATTTTCCATTTTTTTTTAACACCTAAAAAAAAAAAATTAATGCGTTCGTTTATAACGCGTAAAAAATTATTATTATTATTATTATTAATTGTTTCATCGTGACGACGAATCTCGTTGTTATTATTATTATTATCATTTAAATATAATAACCGATTTTTGTAAAAACCGTTTGTAACCGTTCGAACTCTAAAATCGAACAGAAATTTTTTTTTTTTTTTTGCGGTTATGAAATTTGAAAGAAAAAGTGATGATTAATGATTTAAACTAATTAAAAAGGGAGAAGGGGGAAAAAAAGAAATTTAATAACAAAAAAAAAACTTTGAAAAAGGAAAAAAGGAAAAAAAGGAAAAAAAGGAAAAAAGTGGAAAAGTTTTTTTACACACAAAAGTAATCTCATCACGTCGAAGGTGGAAAAATCATTATTCAAGGGATGATGAACGGTTCAAGTTACATCGCGAATCACAATTTCAAAATTATACGATCCATAAAATTTTACATCTTTTCCCGAGAAAAAAGGTTTTTTTTCCTTTTACTTTCTTCCTTTTATTCTTTTCCTTTTTTCCTTTTCCACGAAGGGATGTTATGGTAGTCAAATCGGAATTTATAATTTATTTAAATTTTAAGTAAAAAAAAAAAAAGTGAAACGAAACGAAACGAAACAAAAAATTTTTTACCTTTTTTCCTTTTTTTTTTTTTTACCTTTTTTAATTCCAGTTTTTTCTTTTGTTTTCCAGTCGATATTTATTTATCTCCTGGAGAAAAATTAGTTGATAATATCGTAAGGATTAATTAAAAGGTTTCGTTTGTGTAACTTAAAAAAAACTTTTTTTTGTTTTTCCAACGACTCGACGTCCCTAACGACTTCGAAAAAATTTTCCAAATCAATGAACTCATCATTATTATTATTATTATTATTATTATTATCATCATCATAAACCTATTAATTTATTTTGCTATATATATATATATAAAAAAAGGAAAAATTTTAATTTAAAATCATTCGTTCGAACGTTTTCCCGACGGAAAACAAAAAAAATTAAATAAAAAAAAACCGTTACGATCGAACGCGCGCTCGTTTAAATTTTCCCGCGTTTTTCCAGTAACAACAACGACAAACGCGTCGATACGAAAAAAATTTATAAAAATAAACAAACGACAAATTGAAAAAAATAAATAAATAAAATTTACGACAAACAAAGAAAATCCGACGCAAAAAATTTAAAATCACAGGTAAAAACTCAATAAGGAAAAATAATAATAATAATTTGTGATAATATCATCCGCCATTTTGAAATTATTATTATTATTTTCTTTCTCGTTACGCAGGGAAAAAAAGTTTAAGTTTTAAAAACAACCTTTGGGGCGCGAAGAAAATTCATTGGAAACTTTTTTTTTTAGTATTAAACTGTATTATCAGATGTATAATTTGGTTATACTGATAACTCGGGGGTAAATTTCGAAAAAAAAAAAAAATTATTTTAGGGGTCGAAAACGATAATAATAATAATTTTGCTGTCGGTTTTAGATTGCGAACAATCTCCAGGTGTGTATTTAAGAGACGATCCATTATTCGGTACGCAATTACAAAATCAAAGCGAATTAAGAGTACCGAATGCGGAAAAAGCAGCTTTTTATTTGGATGCTGCCATAAATAGCAGATCTGGAAAAGATGACGGAAGGGATTCGCATTTTTTATACACATTACACGTGTATCAATATAGCGTAGCTGGAAAAGGTGGAGGTAAGAGAGAGAGAAAGAGATAGAGAGAGAGAGAGTGAGAAAAAGAAAAATATATCAAGAGTGATGAAAAATTTTTTCTCATTATCAGTGGCCGGAGGACGAAGTCGATTACATTTGATAGATCTTGGAAGTTGCGAAAGAGGAAAAGCAAGCGGTGGTATACCACTTTCGGGCCTTGGAAATGTATTACTTGCCATTTTTAACGGGCAAAAACATTTACCCTACAGGTATTGTGCATATTTTTTTTTTTTTTAAATAAAAATGGCGACGGTCGTTAATGCGAAAACATTTTTTTTTTACATAAACAATAAATTGAATGTTTCAACATGTTGTTGTTTGTGTTGTTTTTTTTTCATCCCCGATTAAATTATGACTTAATAAAAAAATCAAATCATTTCAAGCATCTTGGAAAATCTCAGACGATGTTTTTATTTTTTTCATCTCCCTCTCCCCCCTCTTTCCCCTATCGACTTTGTGTCGCCGAAATAAAACATCACACACACAAAGTACTAAATTTTTTTTTTTTCTAAATTCGTCATCATTTCTCGTTTTTATTTTATTAACCTTTTAAATATTGAAATTGAGACATTTTTTTTTTGTGCGGTAATTAATCGATTTGAAAGTTTTAAGTTAAAAAAAAAAAATACCAACCCTTAGGGTAAATAAATCAACCCTTAGATTTATTTTTTTTTTTTTTGGGATTTCAGAGAACACAAAATCACCCAACTGCTAAAGGAATGTCTTAGTTCGTTGACTTGTCACGCCGTCATGATCGCACATGTGTCTCAAAGTTCTCAACACTATACTGACACCCTTACAACCGTTCAACTCGCATCGAGGATACACAGAATGAGAAGGAAAAAAATTAAGGTGGTGGTAGTGGTAGTTCTGCTCACCATAATGATAATAAATTTTTTTTTTTTTAACATTTTTGCGTATTTTATTTTTAGTTCGGAGGCCCTTCTCCTGGAGGACCCTCGATTTTATCAAATGGTAGTTCGAGCGATGAATTTTCCCGGCATAATGCATCGACGGGTAGCAGCGATTTCGATCCGTCTAGTAGCGAACAATCTGCCGACACGGTGATTTACGTCGCGCCCCACGATGATGCCGCAACCGATGGTGAACATCCACCCGTTTACATGCTTAACATGGATAGTAGAACGGGAGAAAATCGTTGTGCCGTGAATAAAATCGTCAAAACGACAAATAACGAAATTCGAACGGGTGTTAAATTTAAAAGTTGTACCGCGACCGCGACCCTACCATCATCTCCTGCCAAAACGACCATTGGTAATTATAAGACTGATGAAAAATCTGCGAGTGGTAGTAGCAGTAGTAGTCCTCTTCACAAAACGAATAAGTCTGGTTTTAACAGTTCTAAGTCTTCCCCCGTGCGAACGGTTACCGGTAAAATACCATCGAAAATTCCAAATTTGGATAATCAAAGTAAAACGTCGAATCCGTTGCAAATGACGACGAAACACGAAGAACAATGGATAGACGGTCCTAGAATATCGAAGCAAAAAGTGGCAGAAGCGAGAAATTTATTACTTAAAGAAAATAATATTAAAAAAGAAACGTGGGTCGATGGACCCATGCAAAAACCGGGTAAAATAACAACCGGTAACGGTGGTCAATCGAGTGGAAATTACGGGTTTATGGATAATCATAAAAAAATTATGATTCGTAAATGGGTAGAAAATCAAACCGTTCATTTGAAACAGAGTTTGGGGGGTACTTCGTCATCCGCGAAACCCGAACTCACGAGCGGATTGCTCAGGAGTAGCGAACCTACAAAAGACGAAGATGATAATTTCGAATTTAAAAAATTTAACGATTTCGAAGATTTGGGAGAGCGTAAAGTCGAAGGTTCTTCGGAAACTATCAAACCAGAAAAAATAATCACGGAAGACGTAAAATGTAATGTGAGCGTGTCCACAGCTCTCATAAAACAAACGGACAAATGTTTAAAAGAATTGAAAAAAGTCGAAAATCAGCAGCAGAAGAACCGGCAAAATAATTGCGGAGAATCTAGCGAATCGTCCGAAGAGGAAAAACTTCCGCCTCCTCCACTTCCGCTTATTTTACGATATAACAAAGATATTAAAATGAGTAAGAAGTTTTTTCCTCTGACGTGAAAATTTTAATAAAACGGTTTTAATAAAAAAAAAATTTTTTTCGGGGTTTTTCCAGATGGTCAAAATCAACCGATAAACGCATTAGGGCTCCAGGGTAGTAGAATGATTCAAGACTACGACGACGAAGAAGACGAAATAGAATTGGAAATAGTTGAAGTTACGGAACTCGAAGAACCCGTACCAACGCAAGACTCTTGTTTGCAAGTCACCGAAGAAGATATAGCTTTTTGTATGGGCGAATGTGAAAATCCACTTCCGGAAGTTGATCAAGAGGGAAGAGGAGGAGGAGGTCATCACGAAGAAGAACATCCTTTGAGAATTTTAAGTCAAGAAAATTTAACGGTCGTATCGACATTCACCGGTGAGGAATTTATTTATTTATTTTTAACAAACAATAAAATTTTATTTATAATAATAATAATAATTTGTTTTGTTAGATTCTTTATCCGTAACCACGGATTTCGAAAGATGTCTTCCGAGACCTCGCTACGCACCTCCATCGTTATTCGATCAACCGTTTTATCCGAACGGTCCTTACGTTCACGACGAATACATCGAACTATTAACGAAAAATCACAATTTGGAAAGGGAAACGATCAATCAATTGACCGAACTTCACAATTTCTACAAATCCAAAATATTACAAAATCCATCATCTAAAATTTCCGCACGTTGTCAAAGTCTTTCCCTTTCGGACGTTTTCGAAAACGCTCCTGTGGGTGACTGCAACGAATCCAGCGGTAATTGCAGCATATACAGCGAACCCGCGTATAAATTCTTAGACGAAGAAAATTCGATTTGCAACAGTTGTAGAAAGAAAACAACAATCGTGAAAAGCGACGACGTAAAAGACGAAAGAACGACGAAAGGACAAAAAAATCCTGGAAAATTGTCAAATTTCAATAAGAATATATCATCGTTGAGACATCCGGACGGTGCATCGAATCCAAATTTAGACGAAGATGATGAGAAAAAGGAAAAAATCATAGGTAAAAGGAAAATTCCATTGACAAACAAAAAAATTAAAACGATCATCGATTAACCGGGTTGAATTATTATTTTAGAAAATGGCGTATCGCATAACATCAAATCCGAAACGACGTTTGACGATAAAGAAGATAATAAAATAACACAATCTAAGAAAAAATTATTATTATCGTCGGAATTTAACAAAAGAGGAAGTTGTAGTGGTAGTAGTAGTTCATCATCACCGAACCGTAAATCGAATCATCATCATCATCATCATCATCATAATCACAACGGCCTTAAATCAAATCACGATTCGTCTACGACTACGACGACGACGGCGATTATAATACAAAACGATAATCAAAAATTCAATAGTGAACAAATGAAAGGAACGGAATTGATGAAACACCATCACGAAAGTAACATAAAACTAAATAACTCACCGACGAGAAATTCAAATTCTTCGTCAAGAGGTGAGTTGAGGAGAACTAACAGTGCGAGTACTAATAAAAATAGACGATTCGAAGAAAACGAGGACGTTACGAAAACCCCGGCGACGCCACCGACATCGTCCTCGTCACCACTAACACAGAACAAACACCTCTACTTCAATAAGGTAAAACTTTTAACTATATCGATAGAAAAACGATTTGAGGTAAATGCAAAAAACCCCTCCCCCTTACTCTCCCCAGACTCGCCCCCACAAAAAAAGAAACAATACTTCGATGGTTTTCCAAAGAAAAAAAATTTTTTATTTTTTTTGTTACAATTTTCCAGACGTGTCCTTCAAACGAAGGTTCAGACAGTGGGCACGAATCAAATGTAAGTCCTAAGATAACAAAAAATGGGGGAGTAAGAGTACCCCCGAGGCCCCAAGTTGTACAATGCGAAAGTTCCGGATATGAAAGCGTCGTTAGTTTCACGTCGAGTTTAGATTCCGAAGTTGGTGTCAAATTGATAAGAGAAGAAACGGAAGAAATTCACGATCCTGGTGGTCAATCAGGTATGTATGAAACAATCACATAAAAAATCCTTTTATTATTATTATTATTATTATTTTACTTTTATATCGTTTCATTATCACACGAAATACACTCATTTAAGGTTGGTGGTGTTGGTGCGTTAGTAGTAGATCGTCAACAACAACCACAACAATACAAAACAATAAAAGAGATTCGCAAAGATGTCCGCCACCTCTAACCGTACCGCCACTTCCAACAAGGCCGAAGAACTAAAAAAAAAAAAAAATTTTTTGTCACCCACGTGTACATACAAAACAAATGATGATGATGATGATGAATCTTCTGCAAATTCTATATCATTCTGTGATCGGAAAAAAATTTTTTTTTTCTTTTACTATTGCCACTACCACTACTATCACTACTGCCACTACTACCACTACTTTACACTTTTATATATAAAACGAATTATAAACTCATGACTGATAACGACTGATAATATTATTAATTATCAATTTTTCTATTTATTTTTTTTTTTTTTTTTTAACTTGTAATTTTTAATGTAAAAATTATTTTGTAAAAATAAATTATATAAAAATAATAATAATAATAATGATAATTATCCTTTAAATATTTTCAGCGATGACGTCACACACTGGTAAACAAAATACCAACAAAACAAAAACAAAAAAATTTTCACGCGGTTTCGTCGTCGTCGTTCTTCCAACGAAAAAAAAAGGTAAGAAACCGGAAATGATTTCAAAAAAAATTTTTTTTTGGGGGTGGTTTTTATCAATTATTTCCTTAACTTTTACTACTACTACTAATAATAATAATGATGATAATAATAATAAGTAAAAGGAAATAATTTTTTTTGCTCGACAAAAAAAATATTTTTTATTCGTAATTTAATTTTTTTTTTTAATTTTATTTTATAATTATAAAAAAATAATTCCCTTTTTTTATTAATTATGAACAAACAAACAAACAGTCAAACAAACAATCAATCAATCAATCAATCATAAAACTACTACAAATTACAAAAAAAAAAAAAAGAAAAATTTAACGGCATTTTTTTTTTTTTTAATCATCATAATCATTTACCTGAAATGACTTTTTTTTTTTATATACAAAAAAAAAAAAAAAAAAAAAAATGGGATTTTAATTTTTCTTTGGTAAACGCAATATATAAAAATCTTTAACGATCCCAAGTGTATTTTCCCGTCCCCCCTCCCCTCCCCCCACTAAACGCGTACAAACAAAAAAAATTTTTTTTTTTTTTTTGGCAGTGAACGTTTATATATGAATATTCGACCTGAATTTTTAATTTTTTTTTCTTAAAATTATTTAAAGTTAAATTTAAAGGGAATTAAAATTTTACAAAAAAAAAAATTTGCCGACTATTACGTCGGCGATTAATATTTATATAATATGTATAAGCGTAATCAACGTTGTAAAAAACAAAAAAGTCGTGATAATTTACGGAAGTAGTTATGATGGTGGTGGAAGTCCTCCAACGGCCATGTTGGAGGAAAGAAAAAAGGGAGGGAAGAAGAAGAGGAGGAGGAGGAGGGGAAGGATAAATATTCGAAATAATTAATATATATATATGGGTAAAAATTTTCCTAATTTTTTACTATGATCATCGCGGCCATATGCTAAAACTATTTCTTTTCCCTAATTTTTTTTGCTTGAACGCGAGGTATTCTTTTCTATGAGTTCCGCATTTCAAATGTAATATGTGATTGACTTTTCGCACGATTTCTTCTGCTATTTTTTGATCTCCCTCGAAATCGTGATTTTTAAAATGAACGTGATTCGATTGAGTCAACGATTCGTCTTGTTCCGAATAGTGAACGATACGAAACGAGGCTCGATTCGAGGATTTGGATTCTAAAAGTTCGCACGAGACGATCAAGTGAATTCCGTACGATAAGGCTTTTTGCTTCCAAAATTTTCCCGTGACTTTCGTGTGACTCGACACGACGGGATCTATTTCGATTTTGTCACCGGAAATCCCAAGCACGACTTCCGCTTTCCCTCTCATTTTATTCAATATGTAAACGTGATAGGATTGATATAAAAGGGATTCGATCGCGATCAAATCGACTTTCATTTGTTTCAAATCGTCACTGTCTTTAGTTTTGACTATTTCACTGCCGTCATCCACGTCGCCCGTCTTTATCTCTTCCGTTTTTCTACTCGGAACGCTTTTATCGCCGAGGTCGACCATGGCAAGATACGCCAATCCGAATTTGCCGACGGTTTCCTTCGGATCCAAACAAGAGAAATCCCAATCGACTTCTCCGTCATCTTCCGCGATGAACAAACCGTAGCAATCCACGTTTTCGCGAAATTTAAAATTCGGATCCGTGTTTTGCGTCATGTATTTCCAACACACGAAACCGATCAACTCGGAAACTTTGGCTAAACCCAATACGCACACGTGTAAGGGAAATTCTCGTTCGGGTAGTGGTAACATTGTTAAAAAAATTTTATATGTTCTCGTTGGTAAAACTACTTGAGCATTTCCATCGAATTTGGCATATTCACTGAATGGATTTTTTGGTAATAGCGGACACTTTTCTATTTCGTCAGTCAACATTGACCTAACAGTTTTTTGTTTTCCTTTTTTAATTATTTTTCTTTCAAACAATTGTTCTCTCTCTTCGTTTGTTATAGGAATTGAACTACATTCCCATTTGATTCTTTTTATTTTTGCAGCCTTCCTTTTTTCCTGTTCCATTTTTTCCAATCTTTGAGCTGTGTCTGTTCTTTGACGATGGCCTCCACTTTGAATTTCAAATGAATTACACAATTCGTCTCCCCTATCCTCTTCATCATCCGATTCTTCAATGTGTGGGTACATATCTGCTTTTGTGAATAAATTTGAATCTTTCGGCTTTTCATTAATAATTATAGCTTCCCACATTCCTGTTTCATCTGATGATATAAACGAATTCCTGACATGAGACAGTAGCCAATGTCGATTATCGTATAACGCCATTATATTAATTAACTGCAGCTACCTAAAATTTTAATTCCATTACATTTTTGTAAATAAATTTTATTACATAACCTAAATTACTTCAAGTGAAAGTTAAATGAAATGAAAAAATTTTGAAAATTATTTGAGTCTGACAACAACTCAGATTCCTTTTAAAAATAAACAAAGTATTTTTCTTAACAGATAATTATCGTTAATGTACATAAAAACTCTTATAGGCTTCTTTTGATTTTTTTCATATAAATATTGTTTATCCATTACTATTAAAAATTACATGTAAATGAATTAATGAGGATATATTTGTGATAAAATACAAACTATTTATGTATTTGCAAATAAATGTTAATCTAAATAACTTGTAGAATACCTGCTTTCACATTTTTTAAAAGTGAAATATATATTTAAAGCTTACTTAAAGTTACATAAATGTTTAATGTAAACCTGTAGACTTTATATTTAAAAAAAAAAAAAAAGGTGAGATAAACATGTATCATTAATATTTAGCTTAATTTAAATCAAAAACTCATAAAATTTTTTAAAAAATAAAACGTATTTTATCAAGTGTATAGATAAAAATAAAAAAAAGCAAATGTTATTACTTGCGTTTCTCTTTAAAATCGATTTATTTTATTTTGATATCCCAAATTTCGAACTCGTGCATTTTGCATATTATTATTTCACAATATAAGTGAATTTAAAATATATTTTTATTTAATTTACACAAGTAGTCACTTTTCAAAAAAATTATCAATGAGAATTTTCAAACGAAAAACTAAATGTAAATGTAAATGAAAAGGAAATAAAAATATTTACATTATAAAATCACGTGGCTTTTGATATTAGTTGTTGACACGACTTTTTCACATTCCGACGCTTTTTTAATTTGCGACACTTGTTACTAAAGCATAAGCATAATGTTCAATTGTAAATTCACAATAAAATTGAATATTTTCGAGCGATGTGTATATAAATGTGCAAATTTTTTAAATTTATAAATGGTAATTTAATTTTTAATATTTTATAAACGTAATTTTTCAAAATGGAGGAAAATCACATGGGATGGAAATTAGTGTGGGGAGTTCGGCAAGATGTTGTCAATCTTTTCAAAGCTTTTGCAAGTACTAATACAATGACTTTTGATGGTTTTTCTAAAGCTTGGAAAAAAATGAACTTTAGTCAAATATTTAGGTACGCTGTCTATTAGTTTACTCGCGTTTTATTAATTTCGATGTCGTAGTTTTCTAAATATAATAAATAATAGTAATTTTTTTTTTTTGTTTATTTTTAAGTTTAAGGTTTTCATTTGTTGAACAACTTGAATTTATCGAAGAAGTTTTTACAATAGTTAAAGAATATTTATCTTCAGCTTATGAATTTTATGTTAGAATTGCAGCTCTCTACACTTTATACGGATTATATTTTAAACAACCTCTTAAGTATGTTAATTTTTTTTTTAAATAAACTTTACATATTATTTACATTATCATCTTTTTAAAATTAATTGTTTGGTAGTAATTATTTGCAGAGAACCAGTTAAAATCAGATTAACAAAATCGGAATGGGAAGAAATTCAATCAATAATTTCATTGTGTAAAAAAACAAATCTTAACAGTGGTGGCTTTATATTTATGAAATTGTTTTTAAACAAAGCATTTCTATTTACATCGACAATAAGAACTGTAAGAATTGTTTGTACTATTATTTATGTGTTGAATAAATTTATGAAAATAAATGGGAACTAAATTTTATTACAGTCTGGATTAGAAATAGGTTATAAAAAATATTTCAAAAAGAAAAATACAGGACTTTCTGGACATTTGGAACTTGGATTGCTAAATAGGCCATTATTAAATGAACAACTTGTATCTTCTTTAGTCAGTTTAGAAGAATTGTATTGTAAAAAAAAACAAGAATTACTTGGTAAGTAATGTTTAATTAGTGTAATTTCTTTTTTACATCCTTTTTACATTGTTTTATGGTTATACATGCAGGTAAAAAAAATTTAGAATTTATCGATAAAAATTTTGCTGTTAATCTTAAATCTGAACTTGATGAGTACACAGCAAAACTTAGAAAAATAACTCCTGATCATGAAGATAAAAATCAAAGTAATCAAAATGAAGAAAATGGTAAGTTTTTAATTACATTTTTTTTTGATTTTATGTCTTTCTACGATTATTTTTCTATTTCTAATTTATATTTGCAGACTCTGATTCTAACAGTTTGAATGTAAATAATTCTAAAATTAAAAACAAATCGGAAATAAATTCATTGATAAATAAGAAAAACAAGAGGAAAAAAATGGCACTCAAATTTTATTTAGCTAAGAAAAAAGCAGAATTATATTTGGAAAAAATAAAACAGGAAAGACTAATGGAAAATTTTAATGGCATGCCTAGTGATAACGATTTACAATTCAAACTTCCAGAATTGGATTTCACATAAATTTTTTATTTCTGTTCGTTTCATTTTTTCAAATGTAAGTAAAACCCCCAAAAAAAAAAAAAAAAAAATTAAAAAATATCAACTAAAATTTTATTTACATATTTGCAATAGGTTAATTCTAATAAAAAAAAAAAAAAAAATATATATATATATATATATATAGAACTATTATTCTTATAAATATTTTAAAAGATAAATTACAGTAGATTAGTTTCATTAATTTACATTTTTTATTGACTATATTTATTAAGAACTATATATAAATGATATAATTCACATAGAAAATTTAAAAAAAAAAAAAAAAAAAACCAATTGAAAAAAAAGAGAGAGAGAAAAAAAAAAAGGACAAATGCGGTTTCTATGATTTATTTATTGGTTTGTGGTAATAGTTGTCGAGTCATCTTCATCATCATCATCATCATTGTCTATCTGTGCTTTTTTTTCCACCTGCGACATTGATAACAATTTCTCTTATCCTTTCTAAATCTTCAATTTTCTTTTTATATTCATATAATAATTTTTCTTTTTCTGCAATGATGGCATCTTTCTGCTGTTGATTTTCCATTGATTCTTGAAGCGATCGTCTAAATTCTCTATTTTCCATTGTCAAATCTTGCAATTTACTTTCGCATTCTGCAATGTATGTCTTGTTTTTGCTAAACCTCTCTTCCAGGGCCACGGTTAATTTGATGAGTTCTTGATTTTTATTTTGACTTTCAATCAATTGATTTTGTATTTTATCCATTTCGAAATTTTGCAATTGTAAATCCAGTGTCAATTGTTTTTGTTTTCCCACTTCGTTCGCCAATTCCGTCGCTTTCATTTCCAATTCGCCTTCCTTTTGTTTTAACAACATTTCAAATTCCCCTAATTTTTTTTTCAAATCTTTTATTTCGGCATATTGATTTTTTTTTTCATTGGCAAGTTTCACAGTCATTTCAGATAATTTATTCATCAATTCTTTTTTTTCAGTTGCCGTACCTTCTATACATTGTTGACTGTAAAATAACATTTGATGTAATCTAGCAACTTCTGCTCTGTATTGAGCTATTTGATGATTCATTCCAGTGCAAGCAGCATCTGCAGCTTCCAATGAGCATTGCATTCTTCTTTCCGCATGTCCCATGGCTGCTAATTTATATTCGTACAATTCCATAACGGCCGAAGTTGACGAATCCCCAATTTTATTATTTTCTTTAGCTTCCTGCAAAGCTAGTATCAATTCGTTTAATCTAGATTCTTGAGCGCAATTGTATAAAGGTACCAATTCTTGAAGAGATGCATGAGGAGGATTCGAATTGGGAACATTCGAAGCAGGACCAAAAGCTACAGGTTTTATTTCCCACATAATTTCTGAGAGTAATGAAGTGCATTCTTTGGTCCAGCCAGGAGAGGAAGATAATGAAAAAACTTGAGTTTTAATTTTTTTTGATCCGCTGTATAGAGCAATGGCTAATGCTGCCTGAACATTTCTCTGAGTGAGAAGTTTCACATACAGTGACATCCACTCACTGCTAAATGTCGCTAATGCTGATACCAATATAAGAGTTTGTATGCACAATTCACTAACATCATTTTTAAACAAATTATCATGTTCAACTGGTTCTTGTTTAATGATCGATTCGAAAATTCCACCCACAACTTTGTACTTGACACTATTTAAAATTTCTTTACGTAAATCTGGATAAACAGACATTTCGGATAGCAATGTTACCAAACCAGTGAGCCTTAGCCTTTTATCCATATTTGTGGGAGGTTCTTCTCCTCCTGAATCAAGTATTAATAACAATGCTGGTAATCCTGTTTTAACAGTTTCAACAACTTCATCTCTGATGTCATTATATGTGTGAATTTTTACTTGTTCGATTATACTTTGAATGACTCCCAAAGACTGAATGCTTGTTGTTTCATTTTGAACCCACCTTAAACATGCAGCACTCAGCCTTGGGAAGAGTTTTGGGATACCTTCGACATCCTTTTTAAGAAGCGATGGGAAAAAATCTAAAAGAAGTGCTATACATTCTAAACTGGCATCATCATCTGATTCTTGAATTTCGACAAGTTCTACCAATTTTTTAGTATCAGCATAGTATCTGGGATATTTTAACATGACAGCGCTAAAATGTTCATTGTCTTTAACATCTTTAAAGAAATCAACAATGTGCCTCAATAAAAATACATCTCTGCTTTCGAATGCAGCAGTCACTGTGCTAAATGTCACATCAACAAAATTCAAAACATCAGTGTCGGGAAGAACACCTTTCATTTGTTCTAAAATAATCAACATTTTACACACTTGCATTCTAATATTTGGATTGTCATTAAGTTTTGTTATACACTTAATAAACTTTGTTATTTCTACTTTTCTCATGAGAACATACAAGGCAGGTAAGTTTTTATAACATAAATTAACTAATACACCGAGTGCATAAGGTTTTAATTCACTATCTCCCTCCATAACAATTTGTACTAAAGTTGATATTAAATAAGGTAAATGAGCTTCTTGCCATGATATTTTAACACCATAAGTTAATTCTACCAAAACTTGTAAAAGTCTTAATTGTTTGTCAGTTATATGATGTGTTCCTAGAAATCTTGTAAGTATAGGTATAAACTTATAAGTATGAATTAAAGCTCTCTTAGCATTCGGATTAGTGCAAGCCTTTTGAAGTACTGCAATTGCTGACCATACAAGCATTGATCTTGATTCCAAGCCGGCCATAAGTTCATGTAAACTGACATAAAACTCTGTTGCAACACTCGAAGATGGATCAAATTCACTTATGTCTGTAGTTGAGGCTAAAATTTGTAAATGTCTTTGTAAAGCACTAGTACTGGAATCAGCATGATGCCTTGAATACTCTAGAGCAGCAGCAATAAACTTTTTCATTTCTTGGTATTTTTCCATTTTTAACTAATAATTTTTAAAAGTGAAACCGGCCAATAATTATTACAGGGGAAGTAGTATACAATGGGTTCACAAACCAAACAATAAACGGTTAAAAACTTTTTGGCGACAAATTTACCTGGAACCTTAAATTAATTTTCGTGGCTTTAGAGAACGTTTTTCCCGCATGACTTATTCAATGTCGGCCATGTTTGTTCTTAATAATATAATTATTTTAATGACAACGAATGTTAAGTAAAAAGATTTGTTTGTCTTATCGCATTTGACTGAAATTATTCAAACAAATTTAATTTTAAAATACTATCGATTGTTAATGAAATGGCTAAATTTTTTTTTAAAGTTTCATAATGATTCAAAAGTAGGTTAATTCATAGTACCAACTGCCATAAAATCGTATTCGGATATTTAATTAAAACTTGTTGAATTTAAATGTCTCTTTTTATTCGTCACAAAGTATAAATTTCATTAAAAGTTATTTTGTAACGATAAAATTAAAATAATTGACTGTTAGTTTTTTTATAATAAATGTTTTGTTACAAAAGTTTGTGTTTCCATTGTAATGACCTTATTTTGGTAACACTACAAGTTACGCTCTGAAAGTAATTTCATATTCGAAAGGCAATTATTATCAGATACTGGGTGAGAGAAGTAATTGCAAGTAGTTTTTCACCCACAAAAATGGATAATGTTTTTATATTAAATAATAATAGGTAAGTTTTTATTTATTATTTAAACTTATTTTTTCCTTTTTTTTCTTTTTTTCTTTTTTTTTTTTGTAAATACTTTAATTACATTAATAATTTCATTTTTTTTTTTTTAATTTTTCAAAATTGTTTCATGTATCCATAACCAATTACCACTGTAATGTAGTTTTGTTGTGTAATTCTTTTAAAATATATTCCTTTCAAACTGTAAATTATTATTTTTTCATACAATTTTACTTTTTTCTTTTTTTTTGACAAACAAAAAATTAAATTTTTTGATAATTTTAATTTTAATCCTTTATTATTATTATAAATTCAATTTGTGTATTTTAAACAATTTACTCATTAAACATGTCTCCATATTTTAAATTACTTCATACCATTGCATTATATTAAATTTTTTTTTTTTTAATAATTTTTCGAATGTAACTTTTTTGTTCGAATTCAGTTAGCTTTTAAAAAATCCCATGTATATATTATAATTGTTTTTGTAACTAATCTTATATTCACATTAATTAAAAATTTCAATTGCAATAATTTATTATTAAATATTAAATTTTTGTTAACAACCTAACAACCCACAACGAATTAATTTAAAAAATATTAATGCATGTTTCGAGTAAAATAAAACTATTTTTTAAAATGTAAAAAAATCTCATTCGAATGCTTTTACAAAAATAAATAAATAATTTTATTTGCATATTTATTAACTTTACAATATCAAATTTCAATCATCATTATTATTTTTCTTTAATTACAAAATAATTTTATCGCTGTTGAATAAATTTTCGTTTTTTTTAAATTTAAATCGAAACTTATTTATTTATTTTCTATTAATTTAAAATGAATTAATTATCAGTTTAGCGTTTTGTTAATTAATATTAAATAATTTTATTATTAAAAATTATTAAACAATCAGACAAACAATTTTATTTTCAATTTAATATACCACAAATTTGTGTTTCGATTCAAACAAAATTAAATTTTTCAATATTATTGTAAAACAATTAGAAGACTCAGCAAATAATCAACAAAAGACGTTGACTGAAAAAAAAAAAAAATTATTATTTATTAGTATAATCATCATTTTTATTTCATATTTTGTTGTAAGAAGTTAAAAAATTTTTTTTTAAAGTAAAAATATTTAAAGAAAAAATGAATTTTTAATAATTATTTTGATACAGTTGTAAATCCAACTTCCAGTTTAAAAAAAAAGTTACATGTTTACGTTATGAATAAGTAAGTAATGTTGTTGTTGTTTAAGTAACTGATAACATTTGTTGTTAACTTCGACAAGGTTGCCAATTAAACTTCGCACTCTATATCCACCTTGATTTTTTTTTTTTTTTTTTTTAATTTATCCTTTCTTACAAAACAGGAATTCAGTTGTGAATGGTGTGTTTGTGTCAGTTAGCTTTTAGTTGTGGATTGAGAAACAACAACGACAACAACAACCACAACAACAAGACAATAATGATTTTTTTTTTTACAATTCGACTCGTTTTTCATGACTTTTTTATTTTTAATTAAAAATTTATATATTCGGTTTTTGTGTAAATAATAGTAATAATAATAATAATAATAAAGTGTGTTAAAAAATGGTCGAATCAAACGATTACGATTCGTTCGAAGATGATTCGATAGGGAAAAATAATATAATAACGACGGTGAATAATCCTCTTGTTTATTCCAGCAGGAAAGGTTCCGTTAAGGTTCAAATACAACCGAGTCAACAACAGCAGAAAACGTTGACTCATTTACCACATCGTGAACCTGTTGATATTGCATTTACGGATTTACAATATACTGTTACCGAGGGGCGGAAAAAAAGTAAGTGATAGTTTTATTATTTATTTATTATAAGAGATGGAAGAAAAGGAGGGGAAAAAAAGATGAAAGATGAAAATGTTTGTTTGCCTTGAAAAAATCCAGTAATAAAATTTTTTTTTTTTTTTTTTCTCGAAATGTAACAACAACAACAACATCGTCGATACGTTAATTAATTTAAAAAAAAAAAAAAAAAAAAAAAAAAAAAAAAAGGTTAATCCTTTTTTAATTATTCTACGATGCGATTAATAATAATCGATAATAGAGTAACCGTTGGAAATTTTTCAAATTTTTTTTTATTTTGTAAATTTCAATTTTGACGATTTTGTTTTTCGATTAATCGATACCTTTCGATGAATCGATCCCTTTCGATAAATTTCCTATTATAATCGAGAATTTTTTAATTATTTTTCTTATGATTTTTTTTTGGTAAATTTTGCAACACGCCAGGAAAAAAAATTCTCGTACGGTTATGAATTATAATCGTTATTATTATTATTATTGTTATTATTATTATTATTATTATTATTATTATTATTATCATTATTATTATTATTTTTAAATTGCATTTGCATTCGCAATTTCCTGCGGTTAATCATTCTGATAAAAAAAAAAAAAAGAAAAAGAAAAAAAAATGAACAAACGTTTTTGCGTTTTCGATTTTATTATTAAAAAGAGTCGTTTTTTTTAAATAATAAATTAAAGAGGTTTTAAATTCTATTTGATGGAAATAATAATAATGATGATAATAATAATAATAATACGGTCGTTTTTGGGTTTTTATTTTAACGTCATTTTTAGTGAAAAAAAAAAATCGATAAATAATCAATTAGAAATAATCAATTCTTTTTTGAATTATTTCCCAGAAGCGTTTGTTTTTTTGATTAATGGAATTTTTGTTGGACAAAAAGCGATGTGATTCCTCTTACGATCTCTCTCTCTCTCTCTCTCTCTTTTTCTACTTCTCCAGGAAAATGATCATTAGTAATAATAATGATAATAATTTCCAGAAACGCAAAAAATATAATTATTATAATGATTTAAATGTTTGTCGTGTCCGCCGAACTTTGCATGTCGGACTTTTGTCGAACTTTTTTTTTTTTTTTTTTTTTTCTCATTCGTTCGTTTACGAAAAAATAATAATAATAATAATGATAATTAAACGTTTCGAATGTAATTACCGGTAATTATTATTTTTTTTTTTTAATTTTCCGTTTTTTTTTCCGGCGAAAATCCTTCGGTTCCTTTTTTTTTTTAAATTTGTATTTGTATTTGTCGTTGAATGATGATAATAATGATGATGTTGCCTTTTAATTTCATAAAAAAGTTTTGCATAATTTTTTTTTTATTACCTTATTTGCCAAGATCAAAGCCATTTGCCAATAACATGGTTGTTGGTAAAAAAAATTACTTTAGGCATAATTTTTGTTATATTCGTGTCGGAAATTTTGCATAAACGTGGCAGCAGGTGGAACAACAGGTTGTGGGGGGGGGGGTATAAGAATAAAACGTAAAGGAAAAATTTTAATGGGAATTTGTCGCGAAATTCGCGAGTGTGTGTGTGTGTGTATACACGTGCGGGTGTCGAACGGTAACGTTTTAACGTTTATTAACGTAAAATAATGATGATGATGATGGTGATAGTGGTGACGAATTTCAAAACGAAAATTTTCTTTCAGTTTTTACATTTTTAATTTTTTTTTTTCTCTTTAAACTGGTCTAACTAGTCGTCTAACTATGGCCCCGAGGGTATAATGTTCGAATAATCTTTGAGTTTCTAGAAGGAGGAAAAAAAAAAAAGGAGGGAGAGGGGGAACGAGGGGTGGGGGAAATCGTGTACGGAAACTTATTACACACGCACCAATATTGTTAGTATTATTATTATTACTATCGTTTGTTAATTTTTTTGAGAATTTAAAAAATTCTTCTCCTGGAAAAAGATGGGGAAATAGAGGGAAAATAGGAAAATTTTTATTTAATGGAGGAAAACAAAGGAAAAGCGAGGTTACAAATTTTTTTTTTCTATTTTCCTTCTTTGTTCATCTCCCTCCCTCTCTCTCTTTCTCTCTTGGAGATTTAAAATTAAACAATTCCGTTTGTTTATTTATTTTTTTACAATTGTTGTTGTTACAACCTTGGAGTCTTTTATTTATTTTAAAATATTTAATTGATGATACAAAAAAAAATGGCGTCGCGTGAATTTTTTTTTTTTTTAACTACCGTACGTACGAACGGTCACTTCCTAAAATGACTTCATTAAAATTTCCTTTGAAAAATCAACAAACACAATAAAATGCCCTTTGGTTTCTCTCCCCCCCCCCCCACGATAAAATTCTATTCTTTTTCGGATTGTTATCGTATCGTTCGAAAACAAACAAACAAACGACATCGGATTGTTTTATATTTTTTTTTTTTTTCTAGTCGATTTCCGGGATTTCTCGACTGGAGTCGATTATTACGAGTGAAATTTCCATTGTAATCCCATATTCTTCTGCTTCGCCAATGGTCGACCGATTATTATTATTATTATTATTAATGTTTTTTTTGTTTCTACTAAAAGAAAACGACTCGCGTGTTCTCATCTATTTTTTATATTTATTCCGCTCGGTTAATTTCGGTCACCACTTTTTTTCCTTTTCTGTACATGAATAATTAAAATCGTAAAAGAAAAAAATAGAAATTTTCATTCATAAATTATTCATTGTAGAAAATTTTCCACACGTTGCAATTAAAATTTTTTTTTTTTATGTACTTACGTAGGTAAAAACGTTTTACATAAAAACGTTTAAACCTTCCGGTTAAAACCTTGAAAATGTTGTCGTTCTTAAAAAAAAAAAATGAATATGAATTTCCTATTTAAATCATTTATTAAAATTAAATAAATAAATAAATAATAAGTTTCGATTGATTGAAAAATAAGGAAGGTAAATGAAATTTGACGTTTATTTGTTGTATGGGGGAGAGAGAGAGAGAGAGAAAAAAATTGGAAGATTTCATTGTTTTTCTACTAAAATCAACCGCCTAAAAAAAAATATTTTACCAATCTTTGTACTTTGAAATTCCTTATACCATCATCGTGTAAATAAACAAACGCACACACACGCACATACGCACACAAGCGCGTGTTGTTGTTGTTACTAATTCACGTTTTTTTTTTTTTTTTTTTTTCAAATTTATTTATTTAAGGTCGATTTTCGTAATCGAAAAGGTACGCGATATATAAATAAACAAAAAGGTATATTAAACTTGACACATTTCGTCGAAAAAAAAAAAAAAAAAAAAAGAATATTTTAAAGAAAATTAATACAAACCCTTAATCAACCTTGTCTCGTTGATTGATTGAAATCAAAAATGGCGGCGGATTAAAAGGATTATTATATGAATATTTAATTTTTATTTTAATTTTTTTAAATTTTTTTCCAGATCCAAAAGTTATATTGAAAAATGTGAGCGGACGGTTACGTTCTGGCGAATTAACCGCCATCATGGGCCCTTCCGGAGCTGGAAAATCAACTTTGTTAAATATACTGACCGGTTATAAGTAAGTCCTCTCGATTTTTTTTTTTCTTTTATAAATTTTCTAGGGGGTGGGGGAGGGGTGGGAAAGAGGACGTTTCGGTCGATGAACCTTTCTTACAACAGGAGGAAAAATACGGGGGGGGAAAAAAAAAATTTTTTTCTTTGTTCATGTGACACGATTATCGTATTGAATGAAAATGAACAGAAATTTCAAAGGTTACGACAATTGAAATGCGTTGCGTTGCGTTTCGTAGTTGCGTTGTCGAAGCCGTAATTAAAATAAATAAAATGGGTCAAAGGTCATCATTCAAACACGCTTATTTTATTATTTTGCTTTTTCTCCTCTCGTCAGTCGCATAATTAATTGCGAAAGGGAAATCTTAGGGCAAGGTGTGTTTAAGACGTTTCTCTCTCTCTTTCCATGTTTGTTTATCTCTCGAGTCGTATTAATCTTGGATTTAACGACGTTTTGTTTAATTTTTTTTTTTTGGACTTTGCTACAAAAAAAAATTATTATTATCATTATCATTATTGTCATCATTATTTTATTTAAAAATTTTTAAAGTTTTATCCGACGTGAAATACGAGTTTATTATCATCATCGCAACATTATGTTACACATGAACCTTTAACCTTTTTTTGTTTAAATATTTTTATTCGTCATAAACCTTTGCATTCAATTAGCATGTATTTTTATTATTATTATTATTTTATTTTTCAAAAACCTTAAATTGTGTTTAGCCTTGAACTTCACATCCTGTATGGTGTGTAAAGCGCGCGTTTTTAAAGTCTCCACGTTTTCCTATCTTTTCCTTCCATCTTTTTTTTTTTTTCGCGGTTCGGACGTGTAATTAACATTTTAATCGTCAACCGGGAAACTTGATGATGATGATGATGATGATGATGATGGGGGCGGGTGTAATAATTACAATCGTTGACATACGTCACGCGAGCGTCAAAAAATTAATTAACAAGAGACGACGAAGGAATTTTATGTACGTTGATTAATTCTTTGAACGTTTGAGTTACTTTTCCGAATCGAACCTTGATTATGAAAACCTTATTAATGACCCCGTCGTTGAAAACAATCGGATGTCGTCGATATTTATAAGAGTGACCCCCAGTCGTCAATTATTTATTTATTCGTTTGTTGCCTGAAAACGATAGCCTGAAAAATCAGGGATCAAAGGGGGGAAGTTAACTTTAGAAAAACAAACAAACAAACAAACAAGAAACGAAGGAAGAAAATTTTTAATAGAAACGATGAAGTGAAAGTACGAAATTGTAATCTCAGGGAATAAGAAACTATTTAAAAAAAAAAAAAAAAAAAAAAAATGTCAAAAGCTGTAAAGGAAAGTTGGAAAGTAAAATTTACGTAACGTTTAAGAGAGAGAGAAAAAAATTTTTTTATACGTTTTGGACGTTCAGATCTGGAATGAAATCATTTTTTTTCAAAAAATTTTTACTTTTTAAATTATTTAAAGTAACCTCAGGAAACGTTTCACGGTTTGTTTGTTTGTTCGTTCGTTTGTTTGTTTGTTTGTTAGACTTTTAAATTTGACAAACAATTACAGTAATAATTTTCATTTCGCAACATTTTGAACAATTACAAAATTTTCATTTGAATTTGGCAACATCCTTTTTTTTTTAACTATTTTCGTTATTTTCTCTTATTTCGATATTTTATTTAAAAAATTATTATTATTATTATTATTACTATTATTATTTTCTCGTGCATTGCGATAAAATGCGAAATAATTCCAACAGCAGTAAAAAAAAAAAAAAAAAAAAAAAAAAAAATTGTCCTTGCATTTTGAATCTTCTTTTGCCTTGGCCTGAAATTCTAATTAAAAACGAGTAGAAAATCATTTTAACAAAAAAATGGAATTTTTTTTTATTTATAAATAATGATAACGTTAACGAACATAATCTTCCGTACGCGAAAAAACATTGTTTACTACTTTATGTAATGATTGTCGATGTGTATATGAATTCGATAATCGATAAATCGATAAATCGAACAGGGTTCGATATATTTTTCCAGAAAGCAAAAAAAAAAAAAAAAAATTTTTTAATCGATTATTCATTCTTAAGGGGGTCTCCTTTATAATAATCGATCCTCGTTCTAATTATGACGTTCGGAAAAAGAAAAAAAAAAAAATGTCGTCTGTCTTTCTCACACACACACACACATAAATATGGCCCTGTATTTTGTTTTTCTTTCTTTTTTTTTCCGTTGGAATTATCATTCGAATGTCTCATTTAAATTTTTTTTTTTTTTTTTTTTTTTTTTTTTTCCCTTTCCCCGAGCCATGAAATCATTTCGAAAACATTTAACCTCATTTTTTTTTTTTTGTAAAAAAAACGGTTGATTTTTTCAAATCGATTCGCCTTCTTCTTCTTTAGGGTTATGTTTTCTCTCTCTCTCTCTCTAAAGGTTTCGATTCGAAAAGTATTAATTAATTTACGAAAAATACGTTTAAAAATGTTTTCTTATGACCATAGGAAAAACGTACATCATGTTTTGCAACGGATTGGCAAATACCACCACTACCAGAAACTACTACTGCTACTACTCGGTCGCTAATGACCGTGAGCATACCATTATTATTATTATTATTATTATTATTATTATTATTATTATTATTATTATTATTATGTTTGAGTCGTGGCCTGAATTTATTTGCAGACACACACTTGAAAAGAAATTTCTCTCTCTCTCTCTTCTCTCTCTCTTTGGTCGAACGATTTACTATTTTTCGATTCTTACTGATTTCCCCCTTCTCCCCATTTTGCATCTTTCCCTGAAAGGAAAGGTCGAAAGTGTTCGTCTTATACGATCCTGAAGGTTCAGAACAAAAATGGTTTTTATTTATTTTTTCGGGGTTCCTGGACGCGTACCAAAGTTTTTTTTTTTTCGATATTCAAGTCGTTGTGTCTATTTAGCACGAGTTATTAACGTTAAATTGATGGGACATGGGAAAAATTTTTAAATGGGTTTTAAACGACCTCCGCGCACACACACACACACACACACACCCATGGAATTACCATTTAGGAACCCTAAAACATGCGTATTTTTAAAGGACGGTAAATTGTTTAAAATGGCGGCGGCGACGATTTCCTGAAATTTGTTCAAACCATGCGTTAATATTCCTGTTTTTTTTTTTTTTTTGTAGAATTTCTGGAATGAAAGGTTCGATAACGATCAACGGTCAGGAAAGGAATTTGAACACGTATAAAAAATTGTCTTGTTACATAATGCAGGACAATCAACTCCACGCTAATTTAACCGTCGAAGAAGCTATGAAGGTAGCGACGAACCTTAAATTGGAAAAAACCACGTCGAAAAGCGACAAAGAAGACATGGTGAGTTTTTTTTTTCTTTTCTCCTTTTATATCTAAGGAATCTTTACATGCACGCAATCATCATCATCATCATCATCATCATCATCATCGTGAGAATTTTTTTTTTTTTTTTTTTTTATGGGAATAAGCGAACAAAGATCGCGTTTAACTCACGTTCAATGACTTTGTAAATTTTGCGGATAAAAACATTATTTTGCAAAAATTTGCTGCCGTTTAACAAAGCGAAACAAAAAAAAAAAAAAAAAAAACGATTTTCTCTCTCTCTCTCTCTCTCTTTCTCTCTTTCTCTTTCTTTCTCGGTTATAAGAAATCGAAGAAGCGAAGCGCGATTAAAAAAAAAAATTAATAAAATTTTGCAAATAAGTGATTATCTTGCAAAAAAATAAAAAAATGTGCAAAAGGTCAAAGGTTCATTTTTTTTTTTTTTTTTTTTTTTGATCTAAACGTATTATTTGTTTTGACTGTTTTGATTATTTCAATTGCAAATGGCGGGAGGTCAAATTTTAATTTTTTTTCCTACAATCTTATTTCCCGCAGTAATAATAATAATAATAATGATATCGTTTTTATTACGATTTGATTTCAAATTATTATCATTATTATTACCGTCATCGAAACCGCATGAATAAATGAAAACGTCGTATATATGTAATGTTAATCGTACGATTTTTTTACTGTTATTATTATTATTATTATTATTATTATTATTATTATTATTATTATTACTGTTATTAATTTTCTCTTTCCGTGATTATTTCTCTCTCTCCCTCTCTCTCACTCACTACCTTATTTAAATGATTTCTCTTTTTTAATTAGTTTTATGTGATTACTCGATTCCCCGATGATTATAAAAAAAAATGTTAAAACGTGGGGAGATTCATTGGTCCCTTTAGAAAATCACTCATTAATATCAAATGACGTAAGTATGCGAAGTAATAATGATGATGATAATGATAATGATGGTAATATTTCCAATCGGTGGCATCGTCCAATGGAAAATTTTTTTTTTAAACGTTAATTTAAAAGGAGGAGGAGGAGGGTATGTGGTAGTAGGTGCTCGGAGAGAGGATCATCGCGACTCGAAGTAGTAACGGAATTTTTATTTCCTTTTACGACATACGCACGCACGCACACGCGCACACGCACATTCACACACGCACATAAAAACCAATGGCAAAACAATATTTTTAAACGAAACTCGTTTTTATTTTATATTGATAATAACGATTTTAAGAAATAAAATAAAAAAAATATGGCGCTAGCGTATGCTAGCTGGCTGGTTGGCTGGTTGGATGTGATATAACGTTTATACGATTTTCCTAGGGCGAACGCATTCTCTCTCTTTCTCTCTCTCTCTCTCTCTCTCTCTTTCTAAATCCGTTTCACGGTCGTTCAGATCTTCTCTTTTTGACGTTTATGCACTTAAAATAATGATAAAATCTGTCGAAATTCTTTATTTAAAAAAAATTTGGGTTTTTGTCAAGGTAAACAAACCCAACGCACGAGTGCAGTACAAAACAGTGGGGTAAAAACAAGTTGAGGATTTTTGTACGACAGACGTAAATTCTATCCTTGGTCTTGTTGTTGAGTTGTTGTTGTTGTTGTTGTTGTTGTCGTCGACGACGTTGCGGTTGCGGGTTGTTTCAGGTATAATTTTATTTAAGAGATTGCATAACGTTGATTTCTCTCTTCACGTACCTCTATGACAACGCAACAGGGTCAAACGATTAATCCCGATTGTTTTTTATTCATCGAAAAATCTCGTGGGGAGTTGGCGAGGGGAGGGGAGGAGAGGTGATGAGAGGAAAAAGGGAGGTGTGGGAAGGGAAGGGAAGGGAGAAGAGAAACGACTACGGCCTTAAATTTTTTTTTTTTTTTTTTTTGTTTTAATCTCACAAACTCGTGTTAGGAAATGTAGGAAAACGTATGACAAACGTGCTACCACCGGAACTACAACTCTTTCTTTTCACACTTCCGGTTTATGTTATTTTTTTTTTTTCCGATCGATTCGGTGAGTGATGATGAAAATAATAACGGCCGCTCATTTTTATTTTACTGAACAATCTATCTTGTTTCATTTTTTTTTTTACCTTTCTTTTTTTTTTTTTTTTTTTTGGGTTGTTAAAAGATTTTCGAACACGCAATTTCAATTACGCAACGATCTCAATTCTAAAAACACGTTTTTCTCTCTCTCTCTCTCTCTCTCTCTCTCTCTTTATGATTTCCCTTAGCGATTTCTTAACTCGGTCTGCAACTTCAATCATAAGCAAAAAAAAAAAAAAAAAAAAAAATCAACTGGATATTTTTATTGTTGTTGTTGTTTTCGTTTGTTTGTTTGTACGAAAGATGAGGAGATGGAGGGTTAGGGGCCTACAATGCGAAATGTAAAATAAAAAGTGAAAGTTTTTTATTAACGAAAAAATTATTATTATCATCATTGTAATCATGCGAATTTTTTTTGCTAAAAAATTAAAATTTTGCGAATAATGATAATATAAATGACGACAACTTGTTTTTTTTTATAAGGAAATGTATGATGTGACGACGGTAGTAACGGTGATGGCCTTTAATGTAAAAGGAAATGAATAATAATAATAATAATAATAATAATAATAATAATAATAATAATAATAATCTTTGAGATTTCCATAAATTTTATCCTTTCCTTTCCTTTCCTTTTTTCCAGTTCCATTTTTTTGAGGCAAAAACGAGAACAACATTTCCTGATTTAAAAAAAAAAAAAATTACCCAGAGTGTCACGTGATGAAATGAAAAATGGAAGGAAGAAAAATGAAAAGAAAAGTTTTCAGATATCCCGATCAGATTTATCAAACGAAAATATTTCGATTTGATAATGACGATAATAATAATAATCTCGTATGTAACATAAGTACATTGATCTGAGGTTAATTTTTTTTTTTTTTTTTTTTTTTTTTTATCTTAGAACGTCCGTTGGTTGGTTACTTTTGTCATTTTTCTATACTTGTTTGTTTTCAAATTATATTATATATATATATATATATATATATATATATATATATATATATATATATATATATATATATATATATATATATATTATTGTAACGAATTATAATAATAATAATAATGATTCCCTCGCGTTCGAAATAATAATAATAATAATAATAAAAGTTCAAAGTCCGAAAATGGATGCGATCAAAAAATAATCAGGAGAAGGAGAAAAAAGAAAAAGAAAAATATTATTTATTTTTTACTATTGTTTGTTTGTTTGTTTTTTTTAGATCTCTGAAATATTGGACACTCTCGGTCTTCAGGAACATAGGAAAACGATGACGAGTAATTTATCGGGGGGACAAAAGAAAAGACTTTCCATCGCTCTCGAATTGGTCAACAATCCTCCGATAATGTTTTTCGACGAGCCGACGAGGTGAGAAGCACACGAGAGGAAATGACGAAATCGGAATAATAATAATAATAATAATAATAATAATAATAATAATAATAATAATAATAATAATAATAATGATTGATGGTTTTTCCAGCGGTTTGGATAGTTCGTCCTGCTTTCAATGCATAAGTTTGCTTAAATCTTTGTCCCGAGGGGGTCGTACCATCATTTGCACAATACACCAACCGAGCGCTCGACTTTTCGAAATGTTCGATCATTTGTACACCCTTGCGGAGGGACAATGCGTTTATCAGGGTTCAACAAAGCATTTAGTTTCCTTCTTATCAACTCTTAATTTGAACTGTCCGAGTTACCATAACCCTGCTTCCTTCAGTGAGTAACAAACAAACAAACAAACAACGACTCAAAAATAATGAATCGAATCGATGATGACTAATTTTAATTTTTTATTGTTTAAACAGTTATCGAAGTCTCGTGCGGAGAGTACGGAGACAACGTTAAAAAATTAGTCGGAGCCATTGACAATGGTAAAAACGACATACGAGACGGTCGTTTGCTTCCAAACTCGGAAAATTTACCCCAAAAAGTTCTCAACGGTTTAGCAAACGTCACAAACGACATCGTCAAAGATGGGAAAGGTAAATCGGAATGTTAAAAACGAAAGCAAACAAGCAAACAAACAAGCAAATAAACAATTTTGTTTTTGTTGATTTCTTTCTTTCAAGTTGAAACAAACGATGCGATAGCCATTCCTGTCGATTTGACGTCGGAGAAAAGCGAAAATGCGAACGCGACACTCTTGTATCCGAGCGCAACGAAAACAAGCAACAGCAGAAGATACGCGACGTCGGAATTTCATCAATTTTGGATCGTTTTGAAAAGGACTTTGCTATTCAGCAGAAGAGATTGGGTAATTTGTCTCCCCCGCCCCACCCCACCCCCGATAGTTCTTTTCAATTAATAATTTTATTATTGATGATTTATTTTCCAGACTCTCATGTACCTTCGTTTGTTCGCTCACATACTCGTCGGATTTTTAATCGGTGCTCTATATTACGACATCGGTAACGATGGTGCAAAAGTTTTGAGCAATTTAGGATTTTTGTTTTTCAACATGTTGTTTCTCATGTACACGTCCATGACAATAACGATATTATCATGTGAGTCGTGATTATGACCATTATTATTATTATTATTATTATTATTATCTTTTTTACATGGCGTAACTCGCATTATTTTTTTTATTATTTCAGTTCCGCTAGAAATGCCCGTTTTAATAAAAGAAAATTTCAATAGATGGTATTCTCTGAGATCTTATTATCTCGCCATAACGGTGTCGGACATACCATTTCAAGCGATATTTTGCGTCATTTACGTCACGATCGTTTATTTCCTGACGTCTCAACCCCCCGAACTGAGTCGGTTTTTGATGTTTTTAAGTGCCTGTTTGTTGATATCGTTCGATGCACAAAGCGTCGGTCTCGTCGTGGGTGCCGCCATGAACGTTCAGGTAGGAAGCGAGGAGGAGAAGAAACCGAAAATTTTTTTTTTTTGTTTACCGATTGTACACACGTGTGACGACGATTTTTCCAGAACGGAGTTTTCTTGGCACCCGTCATGTCCGTGCCTTTCTTACTTTTCTCCGGATTTTTCGTGAGTTTCGACGCCATTCCGATATATTTACGTTGGATCACTTATCTCTCCTACATCAGATACGGTTTCGAAGGAACGGCTCTCGCCACGTACGGATTCGGAAGAGAAAAACTTAAATGCTTTCAGGTTGGTCACCTGTTTCGACGACAGGCTTGGATTTACATAATCACCTAGATCATCTCATAAAGAAAATTTTTTTTTCCAGATTTATTGTCACTTTAGAAATCCGACGACGACTCTCGAAGAGTTAGACATGTTGGACGCTGACTTTACCGTCGACATCGTAGCTCTAATAATTATATTTTTCATATTAAGAATATCGGCCTTTTTGTTTCTCAGGTGGAAATTAAAGTCTGCTAAATAAGAAAATTTATATTAAAATTAAAAATGAAATTCTACGTATTATTATTATTATTATTATTATTATTAATTAATTAATATTAATTTTTTTTTTTTTTTAACCTAAATTATAATGTTCTGTGATTAAGACAAATTGTGAATGAGCCTTCAAAAACAAAAAATTTTTTTTTTATACCGAAATGTTGTAAATAGCAAAAAAACATGACGTCATTGTCAGTATATTAAAAAAATATCGTTTAAATAAGATTGTTTATTATAAATATAATATTATATAGTATATTTTTTATATTACGATGTAAATTTTTTTGGCGGTACTTCAAAGGCTTTCTCCATTTTATTATTATTATTATTGTTGGTTTTTTTAAATATAAATTCGGCATCTAAATTACGAGGAAAAATGTAAGGAAAATTAAAAAAATTGTTATCGGTTTTATAACGGAAAAAAACAACGCAATAAAATATTTTTTGTAATTATATTGTGATGTATATTCTGTGATAATAAAAAGAAAATTTTTTTTTTTTTTTTTTATACCGAGAAAGCCATTTTTTTAATATTTAGGGTGCCGGAAATATATAAATTAAAATTTAAATTGAAAAAATTAAAATCAATTAAAATATTATTAAAATTTGTTTTTTTTTTATTATTATTAAGTTTTTAAAGTTTGTTTAATTGTTTATTTTACCTTCTAATCTAATAATTTAAAGCAGAAGAAATTTAAGTACATAAAATAAAGTTTTATATTTATTACACACACTCCATTTTGTAAATATTAGTGTCGTAACGAATGACGTAATAGACGCCATTTTGTAATAATTTTTGTTTTCGATAATAACAGGCGGTGAGAATTTTGCAGCGTTCGTTCATTCTTTAAAAAAATTTATATACTCTATGGCCGTGTAGAAAACAATTCATCATACTGATTCAGTAATATGAGTTAATTTTTATACTTGTATTTAATAATAGTTTTTTTTTATTTAACGATAATTTAAAATATTTATAAAATGGCTAGTCCGGAAGTAACTACTTTAATGGAAATGGGTTTTTCTGCTGAAAAAGCGTAAGCATACACACCGTAATTCGTTTCTTTAAAATTATGATTTTTTATTTTATATAAATAATTAACCAAACTAGGTTAAAAAATTAATTTTATAAATTTCAAATTTTATCGATGAATAATGTTTTAAAATAAATTATTATTATTACGATTATTACGATTATTTAGAGAAAAAGCATTAAGCATTACGGGAAATAAAGGAGTGGAACCGGCAATGGAATGGCTTTTGTCACATTCAGATGATATAGTGGAATGTAGTGGTGATGAAACCAAACAAAATTCAACATTAGAAACAACAACAACAACAACAACAGCAACAGAAAATAAAGGACCTGAAAATCAAGATGCTAAATCAATTAAATGTAACGAGTAAGATAAATAATTGTTCATTAATTGTTCATTAATTTAATTGAAACTTTTTCATCATCTAAATTTTTTTTTTTTTTTTTTTTTTTGAATGAAATTTTCAGATGCAATCGTTTATTTGATTCCTATTTAAATGTTGAATATCATGCAGCTAAATCAGGTCACAGTGATTTTTCCGAATCGACTGATGAAAAAAAACCACTCACGGAAGAAGAGAAAAAAGAACAACTTCGATTGATTGAAGAAAAAATGAAACAGAAGAGAAAAGAAAGAGAAGAAAAAGAAAGAAAAGATGAAGTTGAAAGAGAAAAAAAAAGAATTCAAAGCAGCAAAGAAATAGCAGCAGCTAAAGAAAAGTAATTAAAATTATAAATTAATTTATCGATTCGAGATTAAGGAGTAGTGCGAGTAGAAACTTGAAAAAAAAATTTATTTAATTTTATCTTTTAGAATGAAAGAAATAGAAATGAAAAAAATGATAGAGCAAAGAAAGAGAGAAAAATTGGAAGATCAAAAAGCTAAAGAAAGAGTTAGAGCACAAATTGAAGCGGATAAACTTGCGAGAAAACAAAAGACGGAAAATCAAAGCAATTCGTCGACCACATTAACCTCTGTACAAACATCTCCACAGACAAAACCTCAAAGAGATTACAATGAAGCAAGACTTCAAGTAATAATTGAATTTTTCATGTAAGTAAAATATTTATCAGTGAGATAATAACATAAATGAATTTTTTTTTTTTTCGTGAAAACAAAAAGATTCGTTTAACAAATGGTGAAACATTGACTGAAACATTTGGAAGTAAAGAACAATTATCGGCTGTTAGATTGTTTATTGAAATGCACAGAACTGATGGTAGCGGGCCCTTTTCAATGATGACTAATTTTCCTAAAAAAATATTCAACGAAGAAGATTTTGAAAAGCCACTGGAAGCATTAGGTAAATAAGAAAAAAAATAATTTTTTTTCGGTATAAACTAATGTCCTATGATTCTCCAGCAGATTTATTTTATTTTTTAATTTATTTCTCCAGGTTTGGCACCATCTGCAGTGATAATAGTTTCGCGAAAGTTATAATAATCCCAATTTAGTTTGTTTTCTTATTTTATATTTAATAATTTTCTTTTTTTCAATCGTAATTTGTAATAAATCTACAATTTTTTATTTAAAAAAAAAAAAAAAGTATGGATGTGCTCATTAAATTATCATCATTATTGTTATCGAGTTAGATTTATCATTTATTGATTATTCTCATGGAAAACAAACAAAATGAATGACGTCAATTGTAAACTTGCGTTTCGTTCATTTAAAATAATTTTTATTGTTTAATTAAGCTGTCACTTGTTTGTTGATGATGATGATGACGATTACGGTTGATGGATGATGACGGATGACCTTAGAAATCATTTTGTCCATAATATCCAAAATTGCTACCGGAATAACTATAACCTCCGTTACTACCGTAATTATTGTTGTACCTATCGTTGTTTCCATAACTTCCATAACTGGAACTTCCATATCCTCCTCTGTTGCTTCCATAACCGGAATTACCATATCCTCTGCTACTACTTCCGTAACCGGAATTACCATATCCTCTGCTACTTCCGTAATAATTGTTGTTATCGTATCTACTGCCACCGCTTCCATAACTTCCGTAATTATTGTTATTGTATCTACTGCCACCGCTACCACCACCACCACTCCCATAACTTCCGTAATTGTTATTGTTGTCGTAACCCCTGTTGTTAGTACCGTAGCTTCCGTAACTTAAACTATCGTAACCTCTGTTGTTTCCATAACTTCCGTAGTTGTTACTGTTCATGAAACTGTCATAACCTCTATTACTCCCGCTGTTGCTGCCGTACCCGTTATATTTTCCACCCCCATAACCGTTGTAGCTAGTGAAGTATCCGTTGTTGTCATTGTTATCGTATCGGTATCCATTTCCATTTCTGTTTCCACTATTGTTGTTTCTTCTGTTGTTATTTCTTCTAGAATTGTTATTTTGTCTATTGTTGTTATTATTATTATTATTATTATTTCTACGGTTGTTCCTGTAATAATCGTCGTAGTCGTCGTCATCGTTGTTGTTGTGGTTGTTGTTGTTGTTGCTGTTGTTGCGATTATTATTATTTCTTCTGTTTTTAGAATTGTTATTATTATTTCTCCTGTTATTTGATTTTCTATTTTTTTGTCTATCTCTATTGGATTCGTAGTCGCTATCGTTATCATCATCATCATCGTCGTCATCGTCATCATCGTCATTATTATTATTATTACGGTGACTATTGCGATTTTTACTATTTCTATATTTATTTCTGTTGTTGTTGTTATTATTATTGTTATTATCATCATCATCATCGTTTCCATACTCTTCACTGCTATCATTATCGTTATCGTTATCGTCATTATTATTATTATTATTGTCGTTGTGATTTCTGTTTTTATACCTTCTTCCACCGTTGCTTAAATAATTTGCTAGGCTTTTTGAAAAATAATTTTCATGTTGCTGCTGCTGGTGCTGCTGCTGTTGTTGCTGCTGCTGCTTATCGTCGTAATCATTGTAATTCGATTCACTTCCGTATTTATTATTATTATTTTTATAATCTAGATTCCGACTATTGCTATAGGTACTCGTCCTACTCGGAATGAGATCGTTGTAATATCTGTATCCACCCTGGTAACCGTAAGGCAAGTTCCAACTGTCGTATCCAAATCCAAAACTAGCAGCTCGTTTTCGTCTGACGTCATATAAACCACTTCTTTTAATTATTTGAAAACGAGAATTTGGATGACGATGTTCGACGGGTAATTTATCAACAGGAAGTTGAGAATGATCCGGATAATCCTGTGGAGTTAGGGGTATAACATTTTCATTTCTACCACACGGACCTCCGCCATTTTCCGGAAAACGTCTATTGTTAACCCTTATAAAACCGCAAATTAAATTTTTATTACGATTATTCGTATTAAAACGAGTTTCGGAAATCACTTCGGCATCATCATCATCATTATTAAAATAAAAATTCGGTAAAAAATATGGCGGATCGTAATTTATAACTGATGAATGTTCATCTATAAAAATATTACCGTTGGGAGGTAATGATAACGGAAATTTTTCAAAATCAACCGTTTCGAATTGGGGTTTTTTATTAAAATCCGCGTAAAAATATTCATTGTTTTTGTAGGGAAAATTGTCGCCAGACGAAAAACGATTGTCGATATTTTTTTCCGCTCTGTCGAAAACTTTAATTACGTTCGAATAAACGGATTGATACGTTAATTCTGATTTACTATTCGGATTATATGTTTGACCGCCATATTGAGCATTATCATTCTGGAAATCAGGTAAAATTTGTATTTTTTCTTTATTATTATTATTATTAATTATATCTTTCGACGTATCATCGTTCGGTATCCATTCTTTAAATATTTTATATGGATGTTGATGGTAAATAATGTAACTTTTAAACGGTTTTCTCATATTTTCTTCTTCTTCTTCACCACCATCATCATTATCATTATCAATCTCTTTTCTTCTTAAATTATATAACATTGATGATGCTGGTTCTAATTCTGTTTTTGTTTCTTTTCTTTTTTCAACAACTGTAAAATTAACGTCAGGTTTCATTTGTTTTCTATCACCTAAATTATTTATTTCAAATGACTTACTTCTTATTATTGGAGATACAACCGTGTTTCCTTCTGTTGTCACTAGTATCATATTAACAAAATACAAAAACTATAGAAAAGAAACAAAAAAAGACATGAAACTCAGCACTACAGCAATATATAAGTTCAGTAAAAAGAAAAGAAACAATCATTAGGCAATAATAATAATGATAAATCTTACCAAAAAAATAAAAAACATTTTTTATACAATTGTGTGTCCAACCGTTTGGAAAGGTACTTCACCTACTGAAAACTTGTCTTAAAAAGAAATGTCTCAAAGCATGAGAAACAAAACAAAACAAGAAAAAAAAAGTAAATAATAATAATAATAATAATGAGACAGTGGCCAAGGCTAATTTTAATTTTAGTTTTATTTTTAATAAAAGGAAATTATGGGAAATAATAACAATAATGATAAACATAATAATAATAATAATAATAATGATATATTCGGTTGAACTGTCTTGTGAAATGAAAAATTGTTTTTTTGTTTGTTGTTTGTTGTTTTTTTTTAAACAAAGATTTGAGTTGTAGTGGTTTTTTTTTACATTTATTACTTCCATTTTATACAATGATTAATAATGATGATAATGATAATCATTAAAAATATTAGGGAGGATGAATGAAAAAAAATTTTCATGTGTTAATATTAAAGCAGATGGTTTTTATGAAAGATGATAATTAGGTATAAAATGCCCGGAATGCCAAATGGATTGGAAAAAGTTGTTTAAGAATGTTTGTACAGTTACAAACAACCAAAACAAAACAAAACTGTGACAAACAACAACCAAACAACATCCTTAATGATGTAAAATGAAGAGTTTGTAAAAGAAATTGAGAACAAAGACAACAGCCAAAGGGTTAAATATAAGAATTTAAAAATTTTACACACACAATGTGGGATGTGGCAGAAGACACAATCAGGGTTAACCGTTAAACCGTTAAAAATCATACCAACATAACCAAAAAAAAAAAAAAATTTGAGGAATAAATTCCAACAATTTGAAATTATTCTTTTTTAACTGTTTTATTTTAATAAAATTTAATAATGGTGGTGGTGGTGGTAATAATTTAAAATAGTTTACAATTAGGTAATAATTTTTTAAAAAACAATAGGTAATAATTAAGTAATTTCAAAATGAAAAAAAAAAAAAAAATTTTTTTTTGAAGTGAATGGATTTTGAATAAAAACAAAAGAAAGTGAATCCGTTGTTGTTAATATTTTTTTTAAAAAGACATACGAAAAACATTTGATTATTATAAGCGAACATATCATTTTATTTTTATGAGAAGAAAATCCCTGAAAAAATTTTTTTAAATTTTTTTTTGGGCGTATATCTCGATTTTAATATTCATCTTTTTTTTTTTTTTTTAAATAATATATCGATAGAATAATAATTACTTTAGTTAATAATAATAATAATGATAATGATAATAATAATATTGGTTAATTTTGTGGGTATTTGCTGTTGTTTTTTATGAATCTTGCTTAGTGTGCTGTAAACTGAGGGTAAAACAAACACAATAATTAGTTTTTTATTGAACTCGAATCGATTTTAAATCGATTTATATCGAATTTGATAAGAAGGAATTGATATGATAACACGTCAAATATCGAAAACCAAAACGAAACAAGAGAAAATGTGAAAAATGAAAAAAAAAAAACCCTATCGCAAGATGTACAACAAGAAGAAAAATATTCTGAACGATAAAATGTTTAAATTTGGCGGGAAAAATTATCGAGAAATTTGGCAACGTTTAAAAAGCAGAAAGAGTTGTGATAAACCGGATATGATCAATAGTATTATTTAATGAAAATTTTGTGTAAGTTTTATCCGTTGTGGAAAAATGATCGTTGACAAAAAAAAAAAAGAAAAAAAACGTAAAAAATATAGAAATTTCTAGAATTTTAGATTTAAAAATGATAATTTATATATAGCAGACGACAAATATTTTTTGAAAAAGAAAAATGACGTCACATACGTTGTAAACAATCGGAAAATAAAATGGAAAATAACCAAACGTTTGAAAATATCGAAAATTCTCGAGTGAATTTTTTTTTTTTTTTTAAATAAAATCCGTTAATGTTACGATCGATTACGTAATAAAATTTATGACGTAATAAATAGTATGACCCGGTGGTTATTAAACAAAAAAAAAAAAAGAAAAATTTATTTCAATTTCGAAACGAAAAAAAAATTTAATTTACATGAAAATTTTTTTTTTTTTTTTAGTTTTAATTAAAAAAATTTTTCCTTTTTCCTTCCTTTTTTCTTTTTTTCCTTTTTTCTTTCTTTTTCCTTTTTTTTTTAAAAATAAATTTACCTTTTTAGGTAAAAACTAATTTTTTTAATATATATTTACAATTTATTTTACAAATAATTTATAATTAGAAACCAATAAAATATTCATAAAAAAATATAATAATAATAATAATAATAATAATTGAATAATTGAATTACAAAAAATAATTTTATTTTATAATTCGGGTTATCCATAAAAAAAATCATTAATAATAATAATAAAAATGATAATAATAATAATTAACGGTTTTAATTTTACGTTTGAAAATTATTTAAAAGTTATTAAGTACCATAATCGATACCAAAAAAAAAAAAAAAATGATAAGAAAATAAATCAACTAATGTAATCGTTTTTAAATAATGATAATGATAATGATAATAATAATAATAATAATAATAATAATAATAATAATAATAATAATAATAATAATAATGATGATGATGGTGAAATTTAAGTAAACAATTGCAATAAATATATAAATATATATATTTTATTTAAATTATGTTTAATATTCTTAAACGTGATTGATTGGCCGAATATTTCGCGTTAAGTAATAATAATAATAGTAATAATAATAATGATAATAATAATAAAAATGATGATGATGATGATGATGATGATGATGACGATGAAATTTTTTTTAACAAAAATTTTTTTCATTTTTTCAGTCTCCGTTTGAACTTTTCGTTTTTTTTAAAAAAAAAAAAAATTAACGCACGTGGGTGCGTACGATTTGTGCGTATACGTGCGTAAAATACGTGTAGAGATGTGTCTTTATCATCTCAATAATAATTTACAGCCTCTTTGTAAAAAAAAAAAAAAAAACTGAAGAAATTTTTTTTTTTTTTTCGCGGGGGGATCCGAATCTCTCTCTCTCTCTTATTGTCTCTTTCTCTTTTGTTTTCGTTTATCATTATTATCGATAGGGTATCATCAGCATTCTAAATCCAAATCTATAAATGATCTTATATCCGGTTCGTCGAGATCCGAATCTCCGATACTTGGTAACCTCGGTGAAAATGTTGAATATAACATTGGATCCCCGTGTACCGGATGATCGTCATCCATTAAATCTTCAATTTGTTTTATATTTTCGGGTGGTAACGATTCGTCGGAAGACTATAAACAAAAAATAATATTTCTAGAATTTTCTATTTTATTTAATTAATTAATTAATTTATTTATTTATTTACCTTATCTTCGATGTCTTTATCATCGATTGATTCCGTTTTGGTTAACGTATCCAATAATCTGTTACTTTCCTCTTCCCATGAACCTGATATAGAAAGTGGAAGACCGTGTGCTTTTGCTTGAAGTTCTAATTCCTTAAATTTAATAAAAAAAAATTACATTAATCATCATCATCATCATTAACAAAACGATAGAAATTATTATTATTATTATTATTCTCACCTGTATTTTTAATATTAATTTTCGATTTTGTATTTCTAATTTTTGGTTTTTAGCTTCTACATCTTTCATTCTTTCAACTTCCGTTTTTAATATTTTTATATAATCGACAGATGATTTCAATATGGTTCCCTTATTCGGCCTTATATCTCTCACTACGTCATAATAACTAAAATAATTTATAATAATAATAATGAGAATAATGATAATAAAACAATTGATAAAAAAAAAAAAAAACAAAAACTTTTATTAAATTTAATTTAAACGTTTTTAAAAAAAAAAATTTGTTTTTTTTTTGTTTTTTTTAAAAAATTAATTTTAGTTAAAATTGTTATGATTTATGATAATAACTGTTAAGTTTAAAATGAGTAGTGTTATGAAAAAAAAAAACATACGTACGGGTCATTGTTCTTTGGCAATAACGTTCCTAATTCTTTTATTCTATCATTTATGTTAAACCTTCTTCTCCTTTCGACTGTAAAAAAAAATAAATTTTTTTCCCGATTATTATTATTATTATCTATTTACACGATAATAATAATACTTTTTTTTGTCTTAAAAACTTACTCATGTTATGATTGTCTTTTTTTATTCTATCTTTGGCTAATGCATCTATTTCTATATCGGAATACGTGAGAAGTTCTTGTTTTATATTTGGGAAATCACCCAAATCATCTGCCTGCGTAATAATAATAATAATAAAATTTTTTTACAATTATTTCTTCCACTTTTTCCCTAACAAATTAATCATCATCATCATCATCATCATCCCCCCCTTTCGTCTCCCCGAATAAATCAATAACATTTTATTTAATAATAATAAAAACATTTTTATTCGTTTGATTTTTATTTACTTTTAAAATAATAATAAAACGTCATTATTATCATTATTATTAATACTATCATAATTACAATGATTATTATTATTATTATTATTATCAATCACGTACCAGCGTGTCTTCCAATTTAATACTTCCATTCGGTAAAGAACTTAATTCAAACGAAAATAAATCTTGAAGGTCTTCGCCCTAAAAAAATATAATAAATAAAATTATTATTATCATTATTATTATTATTATTATTAATAACAATTTTAAAATTTCATTAACAACGAGATGACGATGTTCGTCGTTTAAGAATGATAATGATAATAATAATATAATATTTTTTTATTTGATTTATAATCTTTAATACTACCTTGCGCTAATTTTTTTTTTTATTATCATTATTATTATTATTATTATTATTATTATTTACACGCGTTCGTAAATATTTTATTAATAAAAATGTAATTTTAATTATTATTAATGTAAAAAACCGAGGTGATGTCGATACACGTGGTGGTTTTTTTATTAATATGTAAATGACCACGTGGTTAGTTAATGATAAAAATCCCCCCGTAAGGTAAATGTCGACCGCGATTGTAAATAAATAACCGCCGCCGCAGCCGCCGCCATGTTAATTTATTAATTAATTAAATTTTATAGATTTTATAATTATGTTAATAAGTTTATTTTAATAATTTCAGGAGGAGGAAAAAAAAGAAAAAAGAAGAAAAACATTATGGGATTGGATTCAAACTTGTTTGTTTTTTTTGGGAACTTACGAGAGAAAATCGGGTGAGTTTACCGTTAATAATAATAATAATAATTATGCGTGGGAATGATTGAAAAAAAAAAAAATGGCGACTAAACTTACCTCGTCTTTCTCGTAACGACGTTAAAAACTGGCATTTTATATTTATTTTATTATTATTATTAATATGGCAGTTTACGACGAGAAAAAAAAATTATTATTATTATTATTATCCTTATTTTTCACTAAATGATCATCGTTTATTATTATTATTATTATTATTATGACTATTACGACAACCGTTTGTTCTGTTGTTGTTGTTTGTTTTCGGGTTCTTAAGATGATGATAATGATGATTTGTGACGATTACGTATAATTTCTCGTTATTGATGTAGTTGAATAAAATAATTTTGCATTTCTACGAATTTGAACCTGGACATCGTGCCTGGAAAATAAAAAATTATATATTTTAATAAACGTAAAACGTGATTCTAGAAAATTTGCACACGATCGCGACGTCATAATAATATTAATAATAATAATAATAATAATAATAATAATAATAATAATAATAATCGTTTATTTTTTTCGTGAAAAATTTTTGATTCCATTCGATTCGATCGATCGATCGTCATTTTACTTATTTAAACGATTTCGATTATTAATAATTTCATTCATTCGTTCATTCATTCATTCATTCATTTATTCATTCTTTGTTAAAGATAAAATCCGTTCGATTACGTTCGCAAAATTTAAAAATAAATAAATTTAAAGCGTTTCGAACGTAAAAAAAAAAAACGCGTTCGGTTTTTCCCTTCGACAAATCGATTTTATCGATTAATCAATCGTTCGTGATCGTTATATCCGTTCGGTTTAAGGATTTTGCGAACGTTCGAACGTTCGTAAAATTTCAATCGCATTTATATACAATTTAAAAAAAAAAAATTAATTAATAATGAATTTTATTTATTTGGGTTCTCAAGGGCGCAAAACTTGTTTCGGAGCATTACATGACCTTTACGTATAGAGAATGTTGGATAATGCGGATTATCAAATGCAGATGTTATAGATAAGAGAAAAAATATTAATAATAATAATGATAATGATAATGATGATGATGATGAAGGAAACGTGAATGAAAATGTTAGTGAGAGAGAGAGAGAGAGATTTCGTTTTATACATATAAAAACTTTTCAATGCAAAAAAAAGGAATTTGTTCGACGTCGTTTGTTTTGTTTGTTTGTTTTTAAAAAACAAAATCACATTTCGATAATAATAATAATAATAATGATAAATTTCGTTTTCCTTCGGCTAAACAATTATACTAATTAATAAAAACATCAATGAGAAATCAATTTTGTTCAAATTTTTCATCATCTTCTTATTTTTGTTGCGATTGTTGTTGTTGTTGTTGTTGTTGCGTTTGTCGTTTGTCATTCGATTATTTTTTTTATCTTTAAAAAAATGTCTTAGCTAATAAAAAAAAAAAAAATTTTTTTATTAGCTAAGAGAGCAAAATAATTAGCGTTAAAAATGGACAACGTAAATATTTATTAATATTAAGTCGATTATTAAACAAACGTTCAACGTTTTATTTTAACAAAAATTTTTTTTTCCTCTTCTATTTAATATTAATTAATTTTCTTCTGCTTTGTTTTCTTTTGTCTTCTTATTTATATTCCAACTTACGAATTCGTGATTGTCAAATTGACGAGATTTCGACGTACGCCATTATTATTATTATTATTATTATTATTATGTCTGACGATGATGACGATGACGATGACGACGACCAAGAGTTATTAATTTAATTTTTTAACAAATCAATACTTTTCACGAACTTTATATTAAATTATTATTATTATTACTATTAATTTTTATTGTTTATATAAGTCAATTAATTAATAATAATGATGATGATGATAATGATGATGATAATTTATTAAAAATTTCACAATGAATGAGGGGGAAAAAAACTTTATCGATTTGATTTTTTTAATTTATTAACGGAATTTTATTTTATTTTTTTATAAATAAAATCGATAAATTAATAAATATCGATCGATAACGATATATATCGATCGATTTAAATCGATTTAAATACCTACTACATTACAAAAAAAAATTTAATGTAAACAAAATAAGAATTTTTTTTATCCGAGGGTAAAAAAACAACACTCGCGCGAAAATTTTATGTTTCGATACATAAAAAAAAGTTTTCCCGATCGTTTGTTTGTAACAACGACAACAACAACAACAACCACGACAACCACTACGACGACGACGACAACAACAACAACACGCAAAAATCGTACTTTAGATTTCTTCTTATCGGTCGGTTTAAAACAAACACGGATTTTTTTTTATTTTGTTTTCCTTACCATCGGTAAATCTTTTAAATATCACACACACACACACACACACACAATAATAATAATAATAATGATAGTGATGATGATGATGATGATGATAATAATAGTAATAATTCACCTTCGTATTTACTTATTTGCGTATCATCATCGTTGTTAATGATAGCTAGCCAGGACACAAGTTTTTAAATAAATAAATAAAAATTTATACGGAATCGTTCGCATAATTTTACTTTCGTTAACAAAACAACCGCAACAACAACCACAACGGTAATAATAAAACAAACTAATCGAATTTAAATTTTTCTCTTTCTCTCTCTCTCTCTCTCTCTCTCTCTCTGACTCCCTTTAGGGAAAATCCCTTTTTTTTATTAAA